AGAGTGGGCCATGTTGGCAAAAACACTTAATTTTTCTATGAATGTAGAAGGCCAACCAGTGAAGATGGCCTTAAATATTTACATTTATATTTGCATTTATAAATAAAGACAAAATAAAGAAAGAAAAAAAGATGCATCAAGATGCTTCGATAATCATTTTATAATGCATCGCAGCCCTCTGAATCGTAATCGAATCATGAGGTGCCTAGAGATTCCCACCCCATATATATATATATATATATACACTGACCAGCCACTACATTAAATATACTTCCTTGTTTCTAGACTCATTGTCTATTTGATCAGCTCCACCTACCCTGCAGATGCACTTTGTAGTTCTAAAATTACAGATCTCAGTCTCATTCTCAGTACTGCAGTGACTCTGATGAAGTGGTGGTGTGTTAGTGTGTGTTGTACTGGTGTGAGTGGATCAGACACAACAGTGCTGCTGGAGGTTTGTAAACACCTCATTGTCACTGCTGGACTGAGAACAGTCCACCAACCAAAAAAACAGCATCCTCTGACCACTGATGGAGGACTAGAGGATAATCAACACAAATAGTGCAGCCACAGATGAGCTATTGTCTCTGACTTTACATTTACAGGGTGGAGCAATAATGTAGGTGCATCTAATAGTGGACAGTGAGTGGACCCAGTGTTTAAAAACTACAGCAGCACTGCTGTGTCTGATACACTCATACCAGCAGAACACACACTAACATGTCGCCACCACAACAGTGCGACTGCAGTGCTGAGAATGATCCACCACCCAAATGATACCTGCTCTGTGGAGGTCCTGTGGTGGTCCTTACCATTGAAGAACAGAGTGAAAAGGGGTAACAAAGTATGTAGAGAATGAGAGAGACTACAGTCTGTAATTGAACTACAAAGCGCTCCTGTGTTGTAAGTGGAGCTGATAAAATGGACAATAAGTGTAGAAACAAGGAGGTGGACTGAATGAAGTGGCCGGTCTGTGTATAAGCTGTATCTGTGCAGACACTACTATATAAAAGTTTGGAATCACTTGACATACAGTTTTTGTTATTTCATACACAACAGTAACTTATACAATGCATATTTAAATATTAATAGGTAAAATGCAGAACAGTGCTTTTTTCAACGTAAGAATGTTGTGAATAAGACATTCAGTGGTAAATAATATACTGTTTATCAGCGTATCTGCCTCGAGACTTGATCTCCACTTTTGAATTTTTCTTGATATGTCCACTAATTAATTTCATTATACATCCTAGTCATTTAGAACATTCTACAGCTCCATTCATCATTGTAGACAAATCTAACATTTCTTCATTTTAATGTACAGTTTCTTACTGCCCTACTGTTTATTTTAACCTTGAGAAGCTGAAATGGAGCTTGCCACTGACGGGGTGTGCAGACACAGCTAGTTAGTTAGTTAGTTCGTTAGTCCCATTTCGGCCTCCATGTCTTGAGGCTTGTTAGACTTTTTTGAGACGAACTTTTATCCAATCCAGCCATTATAAATTCCACAACAACTGGTTTCATTTCTCTGTGAAGTTGAGTCTTCATATCTTTTTTTGATTGATAACTGGTGCAAACCACCAAATATGTTTCACATAATTAACTGGAGGTTATACTGTTTTGACTTTCAGCTGAATGGAAATATATTTATTTTAGTTTGTTTGGAGTTTCTGCACTAATCTGTGGCCTGGTCTCAGTAACCTCTTAAAATCCCAGACTCATCACATACTAAGGCTTATTATTCAGTAACTACAGGGACGCCAGTTCAAACTGGTTGAGCTGTTCTAAGGTTAGAAGTGTGCAATAAAACAAATAAAGCTTAAAATAAAACTCTGGCCTTTCAGGGGTTTACCTACATGCCTTGTGGTAATATTCTGAGTATTTCTCAGAATGGCTGTATTTGTGTTCCAAAAAGTTAGAAGCTTGAAATAACTTGACTGCCATCTTGTGGCTATTGGCTGTAACATTACAGGAGTCAGTATTTTTCAGGTATTATGGCAGCTGCTCAGAAGAAAGTTTACTTTCCATTTTTAAGCATTGATTAATAATCTTAATATATCTGAAATTATACAGAAAATCACAAATGTGTTGTGCAACTTTCTCCCCAACCATAAGATATGCTACAGTGTCTGCTTTAAATGTAAAAGATGGACAAACAATAGACAAATGCACTACAATCTGAAAGTTTTCTGTATTTTAGAATTGTAGATCCACTTCCATTTATTAATGAATAACAAACACACGTCTTAAAATATACAGTAAAATAAACTCAAGGCCAAGTACACAGGAGATTTTTTTAATCGACACACTTAAAAAAGATGGTTCTTTAGTAAAGAAAATGGTTCTATATAGAATCATGAACACTCAAGGAACCCTTTGCATGATTAAAGGGTTTTTGCATTGTGTAAGGTTTCTTCAGATTGATGGAGAATGTGTTGAATATGTAGAATATGTGTTGCTCTATATAGAACCTTTTTGAAGGTTATTGCAAGCTTGACATCATAACAAAAGAAGAACCCTTTTTGGTGCTGTATAGAACACAAAAAGGTTCTATATAAAAACATATTCAACACATTCTCCATCAATCAAAAGAACCCTGACATGATGCAAACAACCCTTTAATAATGCAAAGGGTTCTTTAAGTGTTTATGGTTCTATATAGAACCATTGTCTTTTCTAAAGAACCTTTGAAGAACCATTGTTTTTAAGTGTGTAGAACTGCTTTTTTATACAGAAAACACAACTATCACACAGAACAAAAGACTGAAAAATGAAAAGGAAAATGTGTTTTTCAATTTTACATATTCATAACAATATATAAGCCAAGGCCTGAGCAGTGGAAAAGAAAGGCAGTAGTTTTATATGTTTTCTATAAAGACAAATCAGCTTTTAAGATACAAACAAATGCTGTGATGAACTGCAGTGCTGGAGGGCTAAACACTCAAACTGAACCTGGCATTTAACTACAGGGATGAATCAGGTGTGTTTGAGTAGATTCATCACTAAACTGTGCTGAATTCTTGGCCTCCAGGACTGGAGTTTGCCATCCCTGCCCTATAATGTATATTCAGTAAACCAGTGGCTTTCAACTCCAGCCCTGGAGACCCACTGACCTGAAAAAGTATCAACTATTCCCTAACCCACCTCACCTGATTCAAACTGTGCACAGCATTGCGGTCCCCAGGACTGGAACTGAAACCCACTTCAGTGGTGCTTTTTTGGTACCATTTTAAAATAAGACTATATAAAGGCTTAAGACTTCATGAGTGGTTTAAAATGGGTTTATTACTGGCTATTAATTAGGCCATTAAGACCTTAAAATCAGTATATAAGCACTTACAACCAGAGGTGTGGACTCGAGTCACGAATTTGATGACTTGAGAATCGACTTGAGAAAATTGAGAAAGACTTGCTACTCTAATTTCAACACCAGTGACTCGGACTTTGGCTTGGACTTCAGCCTTATGGCTGATCATTCAAGACTTAAAGTGTAAGAAACGTGGTCACTTTTCATGTGAATGAATTTGTTTTTCTGCCATAAATTTGATGTACTGCAGGGTCCTGAAATGTCTGTTACTGTACTTACGCTCTGTTTATTTTGGAAGACGAGTGAAGCGTTAGTTCGCCTGCATGAGCTGGAAACAAGCAAAGCATCAATAAGCCCAGCTCAGCTCTTCAACTCTTACTGGAGAAACTGGCCAGGTGAACTGACTATTTTTCTCAAGGTAGCAAAACAAAAGAAACACAGCTCTCTGTATTTGACTGATTTTAACAGCTTCTGCAGGTAAAACAAGCACAACATTCAACACGCTAATGTTGACTTTTTATCTGCCAGCTTCATATTGAAATTTGTTGTTCCACCATAAATGGTGCAGCAGTGAGGGGCTAGAATGTAACCGCTGCACCATTTAAGTGGAATGGAAAGATCTGACTAAGAAGCTGCTGGCGAAAAAAAAGTCAATTTCAGCCTCATACATTCACCATCATTTTGCTGTCTTTGTTGTAAACTTTGCTCAACTCAGGTTGGTCGTTTTAGTTTCTGTTGTCGTCTAAATTCAATTCAAACTAGCGCTTGTTTTTAGTTTGCTGAGCTAGTTTTTATTTTAATCCTATATTTTTTAAAATTAAGTTCAAAAATACTTTTTATGTGTAGTGCTCAACTTTTTCTATATACCAGTCATGTTCTATGCCTGTCATTGTTATCTGTGTATCATGGATTTTGTATTTTAGTTGAAAGGGTAAAAAGAATTATTAAAATATTAATATACAGCCATACACTACTGACGTGCTGTCATTAAAAGGCTATAGTACTGTTATCATTATTCAGAGTTATGATCTTAAATTAGCTAAAGAATGCAGACTGACTTGTTTAGGACTGTTGACTTGGGACTCGACTCGCCTGTACTGACTCGACTCGACAAAATTAATACAGACGTGCGACTCAACTTTGACTCAAACACGAGTGACTTGGACTTGAATCAAGACTCGATTGTCTTGACTTGGGACTTGACTTGGGACTTGAGACTTACTTGTTACTTAGAGACTTGTTTCCACCTCTAGTTACAACACATAAATAAAAAGGGCAAGAGTGACCTGTTGTTTGCCTATTAGTGAAACAACATTTATTCATACTGGTAAATTGCAGATTTCTGTTTTTACTGATTTTACTTTGTCTTCATCAGTTACCATTAAACCTGTTAGCTTCATCACATATTCATATTAATCAAATTATTATTATTATTCATTATCGTCATTCATTATTAATTCTTCAGTGATATGAAGCTGAAGTCAGCTGTTCGCCAGCTTCTTGATCAAATTTCTTGTTCCACCTTAAATGGTGCAGCAGTTCTGACATCTGGGGTGCCAAAATGTAACAGAAAATTCTCACATTTGTGGGTTTGTTTAGTCGCTTGTGGGACACCCTACGCCTAGGCATGATCATGCAAAATGGAATTGTAGGGCTACGTGGTGGGGACAAGGGGTGAAATGGGATTGGGCCTTATGCTAAAGTGGCCCTGTTTTTGTGCAAGTAACTTAAATTCTTTCGATCCTGATTTGAAGTCTTACTCAAAAATATACAAGAAAGTAGACAGAATTATCTTGAAGTCATTGTATTACTAATAGATTAAAAACATAAATCATATAAAATTGAAGATTAGGCACATCATGGCGCTGTGCTGATTTAGCTGCTAATTTATTACCAGGAGGACCAAAGTCAGCAGTAGGGCGACGGAAGGATGCATGATGTTAGCGCTGGAACAACACTTGCTGAAACTGGAGAGATAAAGAGAAGTAAGAACTTGTCTTAATGAATAAGCACTCACTGAACACTAGTAGGAAACATAACCTTAGAGAAAATGATCAGTGCTATTAGAAAAAATGTTATCTCTTTTTTCGATATAACTGATATGCTGAGCATTTATTCTTCCCTTTAGACATATTAAAGCTTTGCACATTAAAAAACTGCACTTGCAACACCAAAACACTGTGTCAGCTGGACCAAATTACTGGTAAAATTCTGACTAGAAAGACTGGAACTGATTATAGCAAAGAATTCCCTCAGCATCTACAAAACACACAGTATGTAGAGAAACTTTGACAATCTCACAGTTTTCAGTCTTTGTGGTTGGAACACCGTGTATTTTATGTTCCTGTATGTTATTTCCTGAGGTCCATTTGTAAAATCTTCAGTTTAATGTACCACAATGAGTATCATTCATTTTTACAATTCTCAACCTCTGTTTATCCCTAAGAGTTAAACAGGCTGTTTCTGTACCTTTAAAATGGATATATGTAAGTGAGCTCTGTTCTAAATGTTCGCATTCAAAAAGTACTCAGAAACACTTCAGCGTGAATTGGGGGGGTGGGGTGGGTGGGCGTGCTAAACTGCTGTCGGCTGAATAAGTGGGTATACGTAAATGGGCTCAAAGAAACACCAAATTCAGAATGTGCTGTTTTTCAGCATAGTTTTCATATCACATATCTCCAAAATGATAACTTTACAGGAGAAGGAAAAAACCTACTTTACTGTTAACGCAAGTCAATGGAACCAGACTTTTTCCAAGTAACTCTGGGCCGTTTCTTTCGGTCCATTCATCATACATTTATACAGAATGTAAAGTGAAACAGGAATTTTCCAATTATGTCAAAAATTTGTTGCTTTTCAGTTTTTGACATAATTGGAAAATTCCTGTTGCCCTTTACGTTGTGTGTAAATGTATGATGAACGGACAAGGTTTTGTCCCAACAGCAGCGATATATGGATTGTGTGGACTGACTGATTTGGCTAGATTTGTTTCATGCTGTAAATTTGATGTCCAGCAGTGTCCTCAAATGTCTGTTACTGTGTTTTATGCTTGGCTTATTTTATTTTGGAAGACAAATAAAGCATTGGCGTTCAAGTTCACCTCCATAAGCTGGAAAAAAGCTGGAGAGACTTGCCAGGCAAGCTGCCTGTTTTCTTCATTGTAGCAAAACAAAAGTAATAGCTCTCCTTTGACCTCTGTTTGGTCTCTTTGACCAATTTCAACAGCTTCTCCAACACCACGAAGCTGAAGTTTACTTTTTATTCGCTGGCTTCATATTGGATGAAGGCAATGTTCCACCTTAAATGGTGTGGCAGTCAGGTCCCAGAACATAACTGTCCCTCCATTTAAGGTGGAATGGACATGGAATGCAATTGGAATAAGAAGCGAATAAAAAGTCAGCTTTGTACATTCTCCATCATTTTGCTGTCTTTTCTGTAAGCTTCAGTTCAGTGAAGTGGTTGTTTTTAGTTGGCTGAACTAGTTTTAGTACTGAGCTCATTTTTATTTGAATCCTTTGTGCCCAGTGTTCCCAAAAACCATCAAAAATTGTCATCTCCAAATATAATTTTTAAGTTCAATAGTACTTTGAAAATTCTTTTCATGTGCTGTTGCACTACTGAATGGTTGTCCCATTTACCATGGATTTTGTATTTTATTTGGAAGTGAAAAATATAATAATAAATCAATATACATCCACACACTACTAACTATTATATATGCTATTATTAAAACTATGCAATACTGTTTCCGTCATTTTTGGTGTTCAGTGTTGAAACAGTGCTAAATTAGCTGAAGAATGCAGACTGACTTGTTTAGGACTTGAAGACTCAACTTAAGACCTGCCTTGACTTGAGACTCGACTGTCTTGGCCTGGAACTCAAGTGTCAAAACTTGAGACTTACTTATAACTTGCAACTTAGTGACTTGTTCCCACCTCTGGAAAATACCATACTATGATTTTTTTAATCATGTACATGGTTGTGGTGCACAAGCCTGTCACTGGCTATAACATTGTGGCTAAGAAGTCTTTCTTGTAATGATATGTAATTTAGGCACGTTTGCATTATATTTCAGGACGTTAGTCCCTATTAAACACATTTTTGAGTGTTTTTGTATGGACTTCTGTAAGAGCTTGACTGTGCATTCACCGTGCTGTGCAGGATCCTTTTTGAGCACCCAAGTAAGGAGAGGTATTGAAGTCCTTCACTGCTACTCTGGGGCAGGGCAAAGTGTTTCTCTCCTTCAGCGCTGAGACATCTGACCATAATATCTCACACACACACACACACACACACACACACACACACACACACACACAAGAGTATAATCTGTTTTAGACAGGAAATATATTATTAGAATTTTATTTGAGGACTGTAAAATGAAAGCCAACCTTGCACACTGACGAGAAGGATGAGATCACCGCCTTTGACAAACTCCCTGTCATCGAGTTGGCCTTTTTCCAAAAACGTGCTATAACCCCATCCAACAGTCACATTTACTTTCTCGTTAACATTGATGACTGTTGGAGTTCCCACATCACTAGGCTTGCCCCACACGTACTTTCCTCCTAAAATAAAAGGGATGTGAAAGTGTTTGGATAACACTGGCTTAAAAGGATCAACTCAAAGATGCACTGTTACAATATAAAAAAGCAATAAAAATAATTTTTCTCACCGTATATCATAGTTGGGTCAGTTGTGAGGCTTGCTTGATTCGACATGCGCTGTTGGATGTCGGGGTTCTGGTCCAGCAGCAAGAAAGTGACTTGTCTCCATGGGCAGGGCCACTGTAGCTGGTCATCATAGACACCAGATACCAGTCGCACGTAGATGGACAGGAAGTCCTGATTCAGGATCAGAATTACCTGGTAGCGATAGCCGTCAGGTGAGTAGTAGGCTGGGCTGAATATGTAAGTGCCAGGTGCAGATTTGTTCCAAAGCTCCATGAAGTTCCTGATCTGCCATACATTATGAGGACACTCTGATTCTGACAGGTTGATATCGTCCACTGAGAGGCCTCCACTGGAATATCCGGCTCCTTTCCGTGCTTCAAATTCCACTAGGAATGGCTTCTCCGCATTCAGCGGAACATAGCGGAGCTGCCAGTGATCAGTGGGAGGTCCTGAAAACAATTTTTTGCCAGTTTATTAGGTAGACCTTGTGCTAGCTGTGCATGCTACACAGTTTGTAGTTGTATTACAGGAAACTTCCAACCCGTAACATAAAACAAGTTAATAAACTGCGTTTCTCATAATTACAGTCACTGATTTATATGACTTGAGTTACTCATATATTCTTGTTTCTAAAAACAGTATTAATTGCCTGTGATGCGTTTAAAAGATACATTTTCTTTATATAGATTATCCATTTCTCGTGATTTGCAGTTCGAGCTCGGGAAGTGCTGTAAACTTGTCAAAGCATGTAGTCATGCTGATATGATGCTGATGGGTAAAGATGTACTGTACAAGAGAGAGCCCTGACGTTACTTACACAGACCAGGGTTTCAAATATTGTTTGTAATTTTAATCAGCGTGACTGGCAATGTATTGTTCAAAGTAGGCTTCAGTCAACTGATGATTTGAATTTAGAGATAAAGGGCCGGTGTGGCTGCAGGTTTTCACTCCAAACAAGCTGGAGCTCACCTGATGCTGATTCTGCTGAGTCTTCAAACATTTCATCAGGTGACCTCCTGCTTTATTCAAGTGAAAACCTGCAGCCACACCAGCCCTCTGCGGATAAGATTAGACACCCCATAATAGGCCAATAATTAAACTGCAAATTACTTAGTAAGAGTCTTTAATAGATTATAAGTCAATAATTAAATGGTCCATAACAGCTGAGTTCAGCTGTTAAGATTTAAGGTACATTTGGAGAAGGTACTGTATTCTCTACTCGTAAATCCAGTGTTTTTCTCTTCACAGTTTTATTTATTTTTTTATTGCGCATGTTAGTGAAATATTTTAAAGTAAAAATATATTAAAATATGAAGACATCATAGCAATGTATTTATATGTTTACAAGATATGATTGTCCTTATTCACAAAGAAGTTTGAGAGAAATTTATTTGTATAAAAACATGTATTATTATTATTATTATTATTATTATTATTATTATCGACTTCATGCTCATCTATGAACAAAGATACTTCGATAAATAGACCTATTGTGTGAACATTGAAAGTGAAATATTTGCTAGCTAATGTAAAAATTTAAATGGTTATCACTTCAGGCTCTGAGTGGCATAACCTACACTATGAACAGAAAAGAACACTCCAAGCTATTCCATGGCAAGGTGATTAAAAAGTACATGTTGGGATAGATACAAGAAAATCTCCAAGTCACTATAGGCACGTGGAAGACTCTGAAGTAAGCTGGAAGAAGGTTCTATGGTCTCGAGCCCAACACTGAGCTTTTTCACCATCGGACTAAACGCCACTGCACATCATAAACAGATAACACCCATCATGAAGCATGGTGGTGGTAGCATCATGCTGTAGGGATGCTTCTTTGCAGCAACAGGCCCTGGACTTATGAGGGTAGAGGGTGGAATGAATGCAGCCTTGGGAGAACAGCATTACTTATATGTGTAAACATTACTCATCTTGCTGGAATATGTTTGAAATGATTTGCCAAAAACCAAAACCCTGCTTCCTGCTTCTGCTCCCAAACAAAGCAAATTGTCATGTTTTAGTAAGCATCATTTTTTGCATGGTCATCCCACGTTTTGCATGGCCCTCCCTCAAATGCATATGCATAAGGGACACTAGAGCATTCTGCATTCACCATGTGTGCGTCACAGAAACTGCACGTTTAGCCTAATGAGACAGCTTCATACACACACCAAATCAAATCAATCATTTTTTGTGCTTGAATACAAAATGCTGTGACTATAATTCTGTCATTCTCTTCTCACTCAATCTTAGCATGTAACCAAACTGTGTATATCTAGTACACTATTACAAAACAATACATTGAACTCCAGAAACGTTTTTCTGATGTATGTCCTCTGGGAGATCATGTGACTGCTGACCCTCCACCGCGCTCCAATCATCGTTAACCTACACCAGAATACTTATCTGGTTCACCTGTTACTTTCGTCATGTGTCTAGTTAGTGTTATTATAAAGCCAGGGCTTTTAGGATAGTTTAGTGTGAGGTGTTGCATCTGTTTCAGAGCTACTGAGCGATCTTTCTTGTATGTTTGTTTCCGGTTCTTTTGTATTTTTGACTTTGACGTTTACCTGATCTCCTTTGGATTTTGTCTGCCTGGCGTTATGTTGTTTTTCTTGTACTTCTTGTCTTTTTCGGATTCGACCTTTGCATGTGGTTTGATGACGACTCTGGAAAGTGCTTCAAACAAGTAAAGCCTCATTTGCCTTTTTTTCTGTCATGTTATGCATTCAGTGAAACCATGTAAAGAAAAACTTCAGTTTAGATCAATATTTTACATCAATTAAAACCCTAAAAACCCAACTTCTGTCCTGTTCCACGTTTTGCAGTGTTGTTTGCCTGATCAGTGAAAGAATAAACTAATTGCAATACAAAACAAAACTACAGGGCAGATAACTCTTTACTACTCCATAGATTTACATACAATAGTGGATCTACTTTAATGCCGACAGTTGTTAGTGTTTCCAAGGTGACTGTGCTGTGACTGATAAAGTATTCTTGTTGTAAGATCACTAGTGTTGTGTAATGTTTTGATGTACTGAATTTATTTTGAGATGTTCCTTCAGTGTTTTTATAGCTGTATAGCGTTCAGGGTGTAAAATGCAATATACACGATCACTTAGTTTTCAACAGGTTTTTTTACAGTTTAGTTAAGTATTTCCAGGTTCCTGTTTTTTAAGCTTCCTCTTAAACCTCAGACATTTGAACTGTTTCATTATCCTCTGAAAATGCTCCTGACTGCTGCAGACATTGGATAATGTTTATGGCACTTTTACAACAACACAAAAAGGAAATGAAGCATTTAAACCGAACTGGGTTATTTTAAGCTGCTAACTGCTCCATTAAAATGTCCCGGCATCGCACAGCCCTGAATTTAATATCTCTAATATTAAAAAAATTAATTTATGACCTTAAATTTTCAATGTCAATTTAAGACTTTATCAGAGTTTTTAAGGATCCATGGGTATCCCTTAACAGGCCATGGGCCCACCAGCGGGCCCAAAGTTATTAAACTCTTGTATATCCTAAGAATAACTCAGCTAGTTTGCACTGAGGTGCCTGTAGTTACTGAATAATAAGTCTTAGTATGTAATGAGCCTTGGATTTTAAGGGGTTAATAAATGCAAAGTAAGTACCAAAAATTACTTGTAGATCACCTGTGATCTGGTCCATGAGTCTGAGGGTTCCTATGGTATCAGTTTCATTCTGGTACTCTCTGATCCAGATGTTAAGCTGGTCAGTCTCATTCCCACTGTGATAGTAGAAAAACTGCAGGCACTGGACGTGGCAGTCTCTGCGGGGTGTCATCTCCTTACTCACCAGTCGGCCTGAGTCTCCTTTCTTTCCAGCCTCCGTGCTGAAGTGCATGAAGAAAGACGGCCCTGCAGACAACACACAGTCCACATTACAGCACAGATAGTGACAGAATTTATTGTGGCTAAGGCTCCATACAGCAGAACACTGGATTTAAGATTAGACAAAGACAAAGACAATGCAGTGCATAACGTCAGCTTTAAATTCAGCATATCACTGTTGTCAGAAGAAAACCTAGTATCTGCAAAATGTTAACTTTACAGGAGAAGGAAAAAACCTACTTTACTTTTAATGTAACTCCATGGAACCAGACTTTTTTCCAAGTCATTGTGGGCCATTTCTTTTGGTCCATTCACCCAATGTAAAGGGCAAGAGGTATTTTCAAATTATGTTAAAAACTAAAAACAATTTTCACTCAACATTGAGAATCCACACTTTAACCCCACAGAAATTGTTTTATTTTAAATTCAGTGTGCTGGAAAATCAAATTACTTATTGAATCTCCACATGGTACACCAGCATCTCAACAGTGAATAGGAGAGCCCTTCAGAGAGTCATCAGCACAGCCTAGAAGATCATCGGCTGCTCACTGCCCTCCTCAGAGGAGGTTTTCAGGTCCTGCTGGCTCAGCAGGGCAGCTAACACACTCAAAGACCCATCTCATCCTCGGGCCATGTTACAGAAACTTCTTAAGTCTGAAATCTTGTTTTATCTGCTTGGTCACCATGACAACTTTAGCCAGGACTGAATTTATTCATATACTGAGTCATTAAAAGCTAGTGCAGGGGTTGGCAACCCAAATGTTAATAAGAGTCATTTTGTCTTTTCAACAAAAACCAAACCACTTTGGGAGCCACAACACTTTATGTCCATTTTACCATCTTGGCTGTACATGTGTCTCAGTATGTGCTGATGTCCCAGTGTAGGGAAAAAATATAATACAAACAAAAACACAGACTTACTGCTCTGCTTTAAGCTGTAGCTCAGCTGTAACCGCTTTTCTTGTATCACCAACTGGAAACTTTTCCCCAAAAGTAGAACAGTTTCTTGTAAAATGTCTCTCAATGTTCTAGTTTTTATGAGGCTGAAGTCAGTTTTTCATTGTCCAGCTTCTCGTTCGAATTTTCCCGTTCCACCTTAAATGGTGCCTGAGGCGCTAGAATGTAACTGCTACACCATTTAAGGTGGAACAGAAAAATTCAAACAAGAAGCCGAAGAACGAGAAACTGACTTCAATTTCTCGTCTTTTACCGTTTGACAGTTTCTTGTTGCAGATTAAACGTATCAGGAAACCAGGTGGAGTGGTTATAAATGTAAATAAGTCAGTTCCAAATTATCAATGTTTGTCTTAAATCTTTCTCTTTGCCTTTTTGTTAGCTACTAGCTAGGTGAACTAGCAGTTATAGGCTACATTAACTCCAGCGTTTAAGACTGTTTATTATTAACACTGTGTTGAACGATCAGCAGAGCTTTATTTTACTGCAAAGGAGGATTATTTTATTTTTACCTACAAATCTAATTCTGCTGTGGAGCTGCAACAGGGCAGTAAAAGAGCCACGGGTTGCTGACCCTTGAGCTAGCGTTTGGAAGCACTTTGGCTTCTATGAAGTTGAGGGGGAAAACTATATTACATGTTTCCATCCATTTTCCACCCATTGTAGTTGCTGCCAACCAGAGGACCATCGAGCAAGTGATGTTAAAGCTTTCACCCAACTCAGAAAGGATGAAGCGAATTACAAACTCTAGCGCCAAGGATCTGCATCTGTACTCAGTCTTTGAGAACCAGGGCTTTCGCGCTATGCCAAGATACAGCTTCCCATCTCGAAGATATTTTACTGACACAGCGACCCCCCCACTCTCTACAACGAGATCAAAACCAAAGTTATGGAATCACTGAAGAAAACAGGTAGAATAGCTGTAACGTGTGCTGTGTGGAGATCCATCACCACAGGATCTTATTTCACCGTGACTGCGCATTTTATCGCAGATGGGTGGCAGCAGCGTCTCCAAACAAGAGCAGTGAATGAGAGCCTTCCAGTTCACTTACCATATCTCTTCCATTTGTCTTATTAATAAAAGATACTGGAAGTACAGTCATTATGGATTATTACAAATACTTTGCTTTAAAAGTTCCAAGTCCTCAAACAGAGAGAAAAAAGAAATCCTGTATAGAAAAAAAAGATGCATCAAGATCATTTTATAATCGTGTCGCAGCCCTCTGAATCGTAATTGAATCGAATCGTGAGGTGTTTAGAGATTCCCACCCCTAATAACTAGCATAATGACGCTAACGTTAGATTTATCTACACTGAATTTGGTGCTTTGACCTGTGAGTTTTTTTTTCTAACAGTGTTTTAAAAAGCCCAGACGCTGCAGACATAATCTCCACTGTCTTCTCTTATTAACTTTGAGTGTTAATGTTGAAAACTCGTCAGATAAAATATTACAGTGATGGTGGTGAATAACGAGGAGACAGAGTTGAACGTGTGTGTTTATTGTTAGCTGTCTGGCTAACTAACTTTATGTGTTTAAGTTTCAGCTGTGCACGTATGATTCATTGCTAGGTAACAGACACCATAGTTATTTGTCGACTTTCGATCAAGTAAGTTAATATTTCCTAACTTGTGATAAGAAAAGATGCTGTAAGATAAGATAAGATTCCTAAATGAAGATTTGCCTCTGTAATACAAATTTGTGAAAAATCTTATCTTGACCTGTCAGATCTTCTGTCAGAAGTTTCTGTAATACGGCCTGGTCATCATCTGTTTTTCCTGTTACCCTCAGGCAGACGCTACAGGTCCATCACACCATGGACGAACAGACTTAAGAACAGCTTGTACCTCATTGCAATAGGAGAACTGAACATTGCCCAACACTGACATTGTACACTGCCAACAACACAGGAATAGAGTGTCTATTTGCACCTATTCAAAATATGTTAAAGGGGTATTAAAAAATTGCTTACATTCATTGGCACATTTATTTATTTATTAAACTGCACTACATGCAATACCCTCATGTGCAATACCTTAGCTGCTACATTCTTTTATATTCACCTTTTTATTTTACTTTTTTATATTTTTATTTTTAATTATTAGTTTGATTTTTTTATTTTAAACTATATAGTCTTTCCTTTAATATCTTGCATTTTATTTTAGCTTATATTTTTGTTTTATTCCTAGTTTAGTTATTGCACCATTAGGATTGCTGCCCAATTTCATTGTACTCTGCAATGACAAAGTATCTTGCATTGAATTACAGACTATTTCAAGGGTGCACATAGAAATGACATTAAATAAAGATAAAGTAGCACTAACGCTAGATAAACCAGAAGCAGAAGACCTTGAAGTGGTACATTAGGCTTAGAATGAAAATTACATGCGCAAGGTTGGACCTTCAATGACTGACTGAGTGACTGACTGTATAAAAGAAGACTGTTTTTTTTTAATGATGAAATTAAAGACATCCCAGCACATTAAAGTCATCCTGTATGAAATGTGTGAGAAGTGTGTCACATCAAATGTATACCTGATGAACTGGTGTTCAAAGACAGGGCAGGAACACCTGAAAGGGAACACTGAAAATGGTTTAATTACGTTCAAACTGGTATGGACATAAGTAAAGCTTGTGTTACTTATAATTAGGGGTGGGGGAAAAACTCGATTCTTAGATGCATCGCGATGCGGATGTGAACGATTCTGAATTGATTGATAAATGTCAAAAATTTTCTAAATATTTAATTTATAACGTAATGTTGATGGAATGTAAAAGGCGGAACTTGTGGGTAAGGGGGTAAGTGTAGCACCTGGACACTCTGTGACGGTACATAACAAAAACACAGCTGGATGAGTGAGAAATCCGATGGGCTCCCTCTACATTAAAAGCAAGGTCAGGTCAGGAGTCACAACCCAAATGTTAAGAAGAGCCATTTTATCTTTTCAACAAAAATCAAACCACCTTGGGAGCCTCAACATTTAATGTCCAGTATGTGTCAGTATGTGATAATGTCCTAGTAACGGCTATATAATATAAATGAAAACGCAGTTTACCTCACTCCGCTTTGCTCTCATCTCTGATAGGAAACTTTTCCTCAAAAGTAGATCAGTTTCTTGTAAAATGTCTCCCAACGTTTGACTGTTTTACGAGGCTGAAGTCGCTTCTTATTCTCCAGCTTCTCGTTCGAATTTTCCCGTTCTACCTTAAATTCTGACTGAGGCGCCGAATGTAACTGCTGCACCATTTAAGGTGGAACGGGAAAATTTGAAAGAGAAGCTGATTTCATCTTAACAACTGTTTAGTGTTTGACAGTCTCTCGTTGCAGATTTAACGTACCAGGAACCAACTACGTTGCTTATAAATGCGAATAAGTCCACTCGTCTCCAAATGTTTGTCTTAAATCTCTGTCTGTCTTTTCGTAGCTACTAGCCAGGCGAGACTTCGTTGCTATGTGACCTGCACACCAGTTCTCAGTCGTTGAGAAAACCAGGGCTTTCACGCTATGCACACTTTGGAGCCGAGATTCAGCGTCCAGTCTCGAAGATATTTTACTGACAGCGACCACCCCCTCTACAACGAGACCAAAACCGAAGTTATAAAATCACTAAAGAAAACGGGTAGGACAGCTGTAACGCGCCGCGTGGACACCTATTACCACTGGATCTTATGTTACCCTATCAGCACATTTTATCACAGAGGTGAGGTGCCTAAAGATTCCCACCCCTACTTATAATAAACATTCATGATTTTCATACAACTGGAAATGTCACCTAGGTTGGAATGGTCACTAAGTGGTCCTCCAGATACATTGCTCACCATCTTCCATCCATTAGCAGTGGAAGAACAGGTCGCCATCTGACACGTGCTGTTATTAAAGCTACAGCGATCCAGAAAGGAGATGGACGAACCTATTTTTGAACAAAGAAACACCAAAAATGAAGCCTTTCCACTCACTTTGTCAGTGTGAACACAGTAAATTTTCCCATGTCTTATTTTCCAGTGTAGCAAATAGACGTGTCCGATAGGGAGCTACAAAGTAGAAATTTAAAAGAATACTTGAGACATCAGACACGGCATTTTTAAAGAGCCACTATGTAAACATTGGGTTTTAGTTTCAATACAATGTTATTTTATCGCTGATGGAAATCAGGTGTATATGCAGTGTTTCGCAGCAACTGGTGCTGCAAGCAGAGCTAGTGGACGAGGTTAACAGCAATAGGCTTCGACAGACTCCAGACTGATAGGGTCACATTCTCACCCAAGCAGCTCACCCAGGGAGGCCGCAGCGCTGGTGCTAGCTAGGCAAAATTCGAACCCTTCGAAATTCAAGCTGGCATCAAGAAAGCCTACACAACCAAAGACCCCTGGTGTATGTTAAGGATATTCAAACTATCACTGACTACAGAGAAAAAAAAGATCACTACCAACACCGTCATCTTTCTAGAAGCTTTAAACAACTTCTGTTTTTGTCTTTCGTGTCTATTTTCCCCAAATGAACAGCATAACTTCGTTATAAGTTTATTTTCATGTAATATTGATTTTGAAACACTCAGGCAGTCCAAGATATTAATTACCCCCAAGACCTCCCATATTTCACACCTTGGTGTCAAGTTTACTTTTTCAAAACTCTTTATACCCTTTTCTGTAAAAACAATTAGCCCAACATACTTTACAGCTATAAAAACATTGCAGAAACAACTCAAACTAAATCTGTTTCTTTAAAACATCAACACTAGTGAACACTCTGTCACTCAGAGCACAGTGGAGCACAGTCACCCTAAAAACACAACTTTTGGCTTTGAGGTAGTTCCTATATGTTATGTAAATCTCTGAAGTAGTTACAGAGTTTTGCTCTGTAGTTTTGTTTCACATTTTTATTTATTATTTTTGGCTGATCATGTGAACAACACTGGAAATTGGGAAGACGTTCATTTGAAGTATTTTTAAGGTTTTAATTGATGTAAAGTATTGCTTTTGTTCATCTAAACTAAGATTTTGCTTTGTTGCATTGATTTGACAGTTTTTACAGTGAATGGAAAACTTTAAAAACACTTTAAAAATATTATAAAACAGAATATTATGTCTTTACTATATGGGAACAAATACAAATGAACAGAAACAAAAAAAAATCCAGGACTTTACGTTATCTAGCAAAGAAAAAATCACAGGTACTGAAGATGCTTATTCTGACTGATCTGCATCATTTGGCCACACGTTCTCCTCCACCTCACACCTATTATACACCTCTCTTGTGTTTTCATATTCTGGGAGCATAATGGACTGTCCATTGTGAACAAAATAACTCACAAAGTGTCCCCTTTTTATAGAGGGTCAACACCTGGGCTGGTTAGATGGTAATCAACTGTGATTGGCCTGTTTACATAAATTCAACCAGCAGTTTGTCTGTACAACTGTTATATTTATTTCAGCTTTGATTGTTGACTGATGTAGTATTTGTGATTGAGTAAACTGATAAGCAGTTTATGTTCATGTTAGTTTTATGAAGTTACAAAGTTTAAAGTGTTACAAAATGGAACTCTAGAAATAAAGTTTTGTTAAATTTTGGAAGTTGTGATCACTGAATTGGCACTAAAAATGCTTGTTAGCATTGTCTGCAGTTTTGACAATGCTTGAAGTTATGCTGGACTATTACTCACTGCTGCTGTGGACCGACAGCTGGTCTGTTTCTTCACCCAACCCCATCATACACTGTCTAGTCTCTACTGTCCTGCATTTAATGGTTAATATATACTGTATAGAAGAGTTCTTTTGTATAGTATTTATATAGTTTATTGTCAGTATGTATTTGCATAATTGCACTGTGCCTTGGAGAAACTGCATATTCACAACCCAACTGTGGTGAAAGGAAAAGCAAAGTTAATTTTGACTTAAAAAAAAATACATACTGCATTTATAGAGCTTGTTGAGCTCAAATGCATCTGTAGGGCTCAAGTCATAGCGCTGACCAATCACATCTTGAAACCGAGGGTCTTTGGTGAGGATGGTGTGTCCACTCCCATTGGTGAAAGCATCTTGTCCGTAGTGCATCACAGACGTGTAATCGTATGGAGTTTCCTGTGTGGTGCTTATCAGATCAGATGCCTTTTTGAAGTTATTCTCCATTCCTAAAACCCACAGAAATATATATTTATTTATAAATAGATATTTATAGATTAAGTAAAGCTTGTATTAAATGGTAAAATGTGGTGCATTCATGCTCTATTCTGCAGAAAACCCACGTTTGCTTCTTAGAGGTAGGGCTGGGCGATAAAACGCTAATGATAATTATCGTGATATAACTTTTCCCTTCCTGCGATAAGAAAGGTTCGATAAATGTTCGACATAATACACCATTCTCACACTACCGTGTTCTAGGGAAAGCCCTGGTGGTGTTTTTTTTTTTTACTGCAAGGAAAGCAACACTACTCTGCTGTAGCCGGGAGAGGGTGCACTTCTGAGTTTTTCGACTTGATTAGAGAGGGAGGGGGCCACGAGTGAAAAAAGGGTCGCCAAATATACTTTAGCAACGTCTGAAACGCGGAGTTATACAGTCCCTGTTTGAGTGGAGAGACTGGCGATTTGTTCTTCTGTAACCGAGTGTGAGTGACGAGGTCAGTGGTGTAACTGTACTGTCCTACAGTGAACTCACCTCTTTCTGTACGTCCTAACAAGCTTTAGCAGTGTTAAATCACGTCTGCTCTAAACTACAGCGCTGTTACCGCGCTCGGACAGTCATAATTTAGTATTAGTGCATTCACAAGCGACGCAAGTGAACGAAAGAAGTGGGTTCATGTAAATTACAGCCCTGATTTGAACGAAAGTAAACTGAGGAAGCTGTGAGGCATTGGAGAGCGGGAGAGCGCTAGCTTTCCAGGCTAGCTGTTTTTAGCCACTAGCTAGCTTGATGTAGTGCTCCGTCACTCCACAGCACGGAGAATTGATGATACTATAGATCAAACACGACACAAAAGCACCGCTTTCAGTTTAAACATACCTAAAAAGAGGACTCCGTTTGTCTGGTGTTGATATATTGGTTTACCCCTTAAACTACTACGATAGTATAGAGAAATCAAGTCGTCTACTAGCTGGTGCCTGAATAGTGTAACATGCTCTGATATGGATGTGGTAGGAGTGATGGCAGTAAGGCGGTGTGATCCATCACTGACGTAGCTATCGAGCCAGCCTATGTTTGCTGTTTGTACTAAGTTGACGTTGTTGAGAAACTGAAGAGTTTAGCACTGTTGTTGGCCACTTATTTAGCATTTGTAACGAGATAGTCTAGCACTCGTCTGCTAAAACACTAGTCACTTGACAGCTAAAAATATTTTTTTTTTTCTTAAATTATGACTATCACAACTGCGGCCGTGAATTCCAGCTGGTAAAAACAGTTCACCAGACACTTTCTCCCACTCTCCCATGACAGATCTGTGAAATGTTCCACTGTTGGGTGAGTGTTTGTCGTGTTCCGACCATAAAGGATAGTTTAAAACAGCAATTAACCACCCAGGAGCAAAAATCAGCCTTCAAACTTGAAAGAAATGATGATTTGACATTTATCGCGATATGTATCGATATCGAACGATATGAATTTGTTTATTGTGATAACATTTTTGGCCATATCGCCCAGCTCTACTTGGAGGATAAAAACACAGTTGAGACACGTTAAACCTGCAATGATGTTTTCATAAATGATGGTTACGTAGTTGTCCCGATCATATCGGCTCTGTTCGTGATAGAAGCCCAGAGCGTGAAGAAACTCGTGCTTCACAATGCCGATGTATCCACACCCATTTCCAATAGAGAGCTGCTGCCGCCCACCGATCTTCCCAATATAGGACCAACACCTGTAAACTCAGTAAAAGATTGCACTATTAAAAGGAAGCCTTCAGCCCACCAAAACTTTAAAGACTGCTCATCATAAATTACAAAAATATTTTTTTAAGTTTTCAAAGTCATGGTCAGTAACATTTCATATTGGTGGGTTGCACTTAGACTTTGATGATCGTAATGTGTAGATGCACCCTAATCTTTCAGCAGTTTCAGCACCCCCAGAAATCAATGTGTACGAGTTCAAAACACATTCATTCCACATGAAATCTAAATGGGGGCTGTTTTTCTTAGTTACCAATAATTCAGCACATTACACATATTAACATTTTGCACCCATCATTTGAAAACTATAGAAGAACGAAATCTTACTTGTGAAAATGAAATCAACTACTGCTCATGAAACTGCGCTTTCTCTTCATGTCTTGGAACTGTTAGATAATGTTAGCTCACTTTAGCATCATATTCTGGCAAGTTAACGTTTGTAGTTATTTGATTTATAGAAATCAAAGAATAAGATCATCTTACTGCTGAAGAATGTAAATGTATGTAAAACCAAACGCTATAGATCTTAGTTTACATGCAGCCTCATAATCCTTTAATAATCCAACTAATAGCTCAGTCGGAAACAGAACATGTTGAGGCTATTTGGAATACAATTTCTATCCAATTGAACGAGGTGGGTAATCCTGTAAATAATCCGTAAAATAGAACAATAATAGCCGTGTAAACGCCTGTATCTGATTACATTCCCGACTGGAAAGTTTAAGTGCGTTCTGATCATGTGTGTCGCGTCATAGTGTAAGTTTATAGTGTTCAACGTGGCGGGAGCAGAAACTGGTCTGCAGAAGAGACAAAGTTTTTGCTTTGATCTTTAAAAGATGGCGGTGGGACGGGCGTCCAGCTTATGTGTCTCAGAACACGACGTCTTCCTCTCACCCTTCTTTAATAAGCACATGTGAAGCACGCTTTCCTGAGTCTGACATCATTTTAAAGTAATTAAAAACATCATTTTAAAGTAATTAAAAACCGCCAAAGTCGACACTGGTGTTTACTCGATCTCTCAACCCTCTGAGGGCTCATCACTTGAGCTAATAAAGTAAAGGAACAGCCTTTAACATGATGCTGGGAATTCCCATGAGGGGGAAAGACGAGGCCAAGTGGATGAGGACTTAAAAGTGCTATAAAATAGAAAACTGTATTTACACTGGCATAGTTAAATAAGGAGAGGTCCTTCAAAATGAAAATCCTACATGGGTAAATGAGAACAGTAAAATCCCTCATGTGTGAGCCTTCGCAGTGCCTCACTGTAAACCAGCAAATCAGAGCAGAGCTCATCAAATTATTCACGAGCCCACCAAGAAAGAAAAACAGCTTGTTTCAGGCCAAATCATATGGTTGTAAATGGGCGAGTGAAGCTGCATCTGGGCATTTTTCACCTTGACCAAAGTCACATGCCTTCTAGACAGACAGCAGAGAACAAAATAAATCGTGGATAAATGCATTTTATAGCATCTTTAAAACCAGTTTTGAAACAAACTGCTGTATTGCTTATAACTTGTACAGTATTTTTAGCCATCACGAAGTGTGAAATCTACTTTATACCACTTCATTCTGGCACTGTTTGATTATTTAATGTGAGCTGCATCTGACAGAGAGTGTACGTCCCACGAAACCCTACTAAAGATAGGCTTCGGTGCAAGTTTATGGCACATTGAAGTACACACTGTTTTAGTGGAAAAGCCTCAAAAAGCATTGTTGATTGTACAACAAGCTTTTACAGTGTCATCTTAGGTCCTGCACAGATGCCAGGCTTCACTGGGAGTCTATAACTGTTTTTATTTTTTTTTCCCCCTTAACTTGTCTGGTCCACGTCACACCTGTGTTACACAAGTGGCCACTCATGGCAGAAGGGAACTGGACACTGGCTACGTTCACATTACAAGCCTCATTGCTCAAATCTGATTTCATGCTCAAATCCGATCTGTCTGCCAGGATGGTTCACACTCGTTTAGGTAAGTGATTCAAATCTGTCGTTAATGTGAACGGACCGGCATCCTGAAATGACCCGCATGCACACATCCTACTCAGTAACGTCACGTGAATGAATCACGTGAACAAACTAACGAGCAGAACGGGCTTCGCTGTGAAGATAATCAACTCAGATCAGCTCTCAGCTGTTCATTATTAGAGCAAGACGAAGGAGAAAAAGGTCAGATGTGTTGCTTTTCCATCGTTTACAGGCGTTAACTTCTGTTTGGCGCTGCTGCCAGAGTAACACTGAATGATGGCGTTTTTTTGAGCATAACATAACATTTGTCAGTAATCGTTTTGTCTGGGAACAAACTTGGAGTAGACATGGCATAATGCCTTTCTTGTTGTTGTTGTTAATTAACCATTTAGCTGAGGAAAGTGATGAAGTTGTATCAGCAGTCATTATAACGATGGTGTAGTTTTTAATTTAAAGCCTAGTTATGGTTTAGAAATGTTAGGTATTTTAAAGTTTATTTTCATAGCTTAAGAACAGCTTTGTCAGCCATTATTTTCAACTTCAAAAAGGGAAATGCATCAGGTTGCTGATGATTTCTGGGCAGGTTCTTCTGCTGAAGTCCACACTTGTGTTCACTCAATCCCTTATCGCACTGTGAGCTCATCTAACATCCTTCACTTGAGCTGCTTTTTGAAACAGCAAGACAGACACTGCTAATGCTACCAACCTCAATTTAGAGGGTTAGCTAATAAATAGTTCAGAACCAGTGGGACTCATTCACTAACACTAAGCTGATCTTCATGGAGATCCTGATATTCACCAGTGTTTTCTTATTTGGGATTTGTTCTTAGGTAAGAACCGAATCTACACACACTCAAGAGCTCAAAGATGTCAACAATTCTGTGGTTTACGAACTCGTCATGAATCTGATGTAGACCTTTTCTTAAGACCTTTTTCAAGAACAAATGTAAGACTTATGAAGATATTGGTGAATGAGACCCATTAATACAATGAAGCAATTTTTTACACATGCATATACGTCACTAGATGGAGCTCACCTAAAGCAAGAAACATGGCGGTGGTGTGTTTGTTGACAGTTGTTTACTTCAACAATGTGTTTCCTGCTTATATGGGTTTACAAAAGAATGTCTATTGAAAACATGTTTTAAGAGTTTAAAATAATTAGAAAGCAAAAACTAAAATCCTTTATTCACAGAAGTATTTAGACCCTTCACTGTAACACTGCAAATTGTGGTCAGATGCATCCTGTTTGCTTTAATTATTTGTGAGCATCTAGTACTCAACTGTCCACCTGTTACAATTTAACTTGACTGGACATAGTTTGGGAAAAGCACACACCTGAGTCTGTAAGCATCTATGGTTTATACTGTATTGTCAGGACAAAAAAAAACAAGCCATGAAGTCTAAGGAACTGTGGTTCTGTGCAATCAAATTATGGTAAGACATACTGGTCAAGGATATATAACAATATCTAAGGCTTTGAGTGTTCCCAGGACCACAGTGTCCTCAGTAATATTACAATGGAAGTAGTTTGGCACAGCCCTGATCCTTCCTAGTGTTGGCCATCTAGCCAAATTGGGGATCCTTGAAAACCTCCTCCAGAGCATTTACCTTTCAACAAGACAATGACCCCAAGCATTCAGCCAAAACAACACTTGGGGGAAAGTCTCTGAATGTCCTTGAGTGGCCAAAGCCCAGACTTAAACTAAAAGAAAACTAATATATTTATTATGTGTATTTCTCTATGAGGTTGGTTGGTATGCATTTACGAGTTAAACAGCTGAAAATAATGTAAGCATGCTTTAAACTATCAATCTAGCTGTAGTTCATTAAGAATTAGATTTAAACCTTGTGTCTGTTCAAACAATAAATGGAATTAGAGGGAAATTTAAGAGAGAAACTTTTTGAAATATTAAAATATACTTGCTGTCGTTTTCAATAAAAACTGCTCAACAAATGGTTACATGGAAGTTACCTATTAGCTACCTATCATGCTCAACTTAAAAACAAAAACAAAAAAATGGAATGTTGAAACGATAATTTACAAGAAACTGTTCTACTTTTTTTGCGGAAAGGTTTCCTGCCGGAGATGTGAGAAAAACGACTATAGCTGAGCTAAAGCTTATCGTCATAAAGCTTGTTTGCATTATGTTAGCACATTAGCACACACAACGACATATTCACAGCCAAGCTGATAAAATGTATGTAAAATATTGTGGCTCCCAAAGTGGTTTGATTTTTCTTGAAATTACAAAATGGCTCTTCTTAACATTTGGGTTGCTGACCTCTGGGTTAGCTGCTGCGCTAAAGCTTCACTTCACTGGGTTATCATCGCAAAAACACTGTTACATTGGCTATTTTAAAAGCTTTTAAGAAAATCTTATTTTAAACAAAATCCTATGCTTGTTTATCAGCTTGTGCTGACTGCAAATGAAGCTAATTGCTAGGTAGCTAACTTTAGTTCACGTTACTACAACACATTTACAGTTTGGCATTTTAAGCCAAAGACAAAAACAGGTCAGAATTTGCCTGCCCTCCCGCTGCGTTCTCTCTGTCTCTCTCCGCTCCTTTACTTTGTGAAATCCTGATTTTGGTGTCATTTAACCAGGTCAGAACAGCTGAACAGGAACAGCCACTTAGTGCCATCTATAGCCAACAATGGAGAACACTATACTATAGATGTGTGTGCTGGAGGATCAAACCACTTCCTGCGTTTGAGGGCTGGGGGATAACAGGGAAACACAGGTAGATAAGCAGAAAGATGACCATGGAAAATGCAGTCTCATTTATTTATTGTATAATAATATAGTATCAAAACTAGAAACCAAAATCAGTTTATTTCAGAGGCTTTTTGGCACCCCATTCAGTGAGGATGCTGGTTAGTCAGGTCCATTATTATTCTCAGTCCAACACGCCTAAACAGGCCCGAATCCAAAAAAAGCTTGTAGAGACGTATTCAAGAAGACTTGCAGCTCTAATTGCTGCCAGAGTTGCTTTTACTAAGTACTGAATAAAGGGTCTGAATACTTTTGTGAATAAGAGATTTCAGTTTCAGTTTTCAAAATACTTTAAAAACGTGTTATCATGTGCCATGGTTGATTAAGTGTAGATTGATGAGTAAAAATGGCAACCATGTCCATTCACAATCAAATCCACAACAAAGTCAGGTCTATGTACATGTACACACGAAAATTAGTTACTGTACTTATTATTTCTGCTCATTTTTTCCAACTGACTCCAGGCACAATGTGTGTGTGTGTGTGTTTGTGTGTGTGTTTTCTACTAGAGCATTATTTATTTATTTATTTAATTTTTGATGCTGTTGTGTTGTTTTGCTTCTTAATGTAAAGTGTCTTTGGGTTTGTGAAAGGCACTATATAAACTGAACCTATTATTTTTTTTTACTTATTTATTTACTTATTATTATTATTATTATAATTATTATTATTATTATTATTTTTATTTTACTTTAGCTGACTAAGCAAGACAGTCTGAGATTCGGGTCCCACAATTAAGTCTACAGCTGTGATTTCTTAATGAAGTACAATAAACCTACTGCATGCATTGAAGAGATTTCATTGAGAATTCACTGTACCCGGTTAGCGATTCCACAGAGATGTAGTCTTTCTCTGTTGTCCGGGGTTTAAAGTCAATACACGCTATCAGTCTCAGCTGCTCGAAGGCTCTTAAAATGACTCCTTTGTCGTTCAGGCCTGAAACAGCAGCCATTCAGAAAAATCACTCTGGTGCTCGAGCAAAACAAAATGAGAATCATTATCACTAAACAACTAATGTTCTTACTCAGGCTTTTGTTCAGCACGTAAGGGATGTATCTGTCCCACCGGTACTGGTCCCCCAGAATCGCACTCCTTTGAAGTCCAGAATGCTGGTAATTTTTTATTAACAGTTAAACATATGAAGCAGCAGCGAGTCATAATATAGTGTGATACAAATATGGAATATTCTCTGATGAGATGGGACTCACCTGCTTGACGTCTCCTTCCCAAAGGTTTAAACCTGGAAAATAGGAGAATATCCGAATAAACAAATGGTCACACATCTAATCATTCCTGTAAACCCATATGTCAAACACCAGGCCCGCAAGCCAAGTCAGGCCTGTGACGCAGTCCTATTTGGCCCGCAAAATGATTTTTATGCATTCATTTTCTATTCGTATTAGCCCGTTTCACCCTCAAACGCACTTAAGTCCCCAGCATGCACTGCAACATAGTGTGTGTTCTGACCCCCTTTCCCCCAACAACAATCTATGAGCCAGCGGTTACACAAAAAGAAAAGATTCCTGGTGTCCAGTTCAAGCAAACAGGCAGTTTTAAAAAGCTGCTTAGTACAATTAATTTTTATTTAGAATTATTTTTGAATAAGTATTTAGTGTTGGCATATTTTGCGTTTTGGCATATTTTGAATAACCAATGGCCTGTTCGGGTCATGGCAAAGCATTAAATAAAAAGGAAATAAAACACAACTGACCCACAGATTTGCTGAGATTTGTTAATATGGCCTGTTTAGTGGTTGAGTTTGACACCCCTGTTGTTGTAATTACAGTGTGTCTATTGTGTTATTATTATACATAAGCACTGTGTCATGGCAGTTGCACTGTTTATAAGCACTGTAACACAGACTTGTTTAGTGTTTTTATTTTTTTTTTTACATATCGCTGTTGTTGGAACAAAACCTCGTATCTCCAAAATGGTAACTTTACAGGAGAAGAAAAAACATATTTTACTATTAATGTAAGTCAATGGAACCAGAATTTTTTCCAAGTCATTTTGCGTTGTTTCTTTTAATCCATTCATCATGAAATGTACACACAATATAAAAGGACAACAGGCATTTCAAATTATGTCAAAAATGGAGATACTCGATTTTCTCCCGACAACAGCGATATAATTAGTTAACAAAACTGCACTTTGGAATATGGACAACATCATGAAGCATTAGTATATTATAAAACTCCAAACTCATTTAGATACTAATACGATGTGAATTTAGATTCTTGCTCAATAACATGCATAACAGTGTCTTAACAGGGTGTCTTATATGCATTATTATTACGAATAATGTACACGTAATAGATTTACAGTTATATGCAGGTCATAAGTAATAAAGCTCAGTGCATAGCTTAAGCAACACTTAAGTGTCTTATTTGGACTTTACTGAATAAAGAACAAGACCTTAAATAGCCCCAAACATGTGGTCCTTACAAAAGAGTCACCCAAAGGTTTATATAGGTGTATAAACATAAACATTTGGTTTCTCAAGAAAATTTGACAAACTTAAATATATACTTATATAACTCTATACAGATAGCAGTGAGGTGTAACGAGTCCAGATGTCATAGCAATGCAAAGTTCATAGAAACACTTTTTGAATGGTGCCAGATGTGCTGTGTACTTTTGGTAAAGTAGACTTACCTATGTTTATTTTGGAGATGTCCTTCCTGTCACCATCAACATCTAAAAAAAAAACAAAAAAACAAAAAAAAAACAGGTGACCAGCGAATACTAGAGAGAAACTGACATTTAAAAACTGATAGTGTAAAAAATTGGAGTAGAAATCAGTCTAAATGTACACTGTGCAATTATATTTAATGACCTTCCATTACAATGCATAAAGTATTAAGAAGTTATATTCCGAATGTTCATTTAGAATACATATTGATAAGACACATGGGAAACACTGCTGTTGTAATTTTTCATTAATTTATATTCTTCCTTAATTTTTATTTTTTATTTTAATTTAAATTATTATTTTTTACTTGATTCAATTCTAGTTTAATTTTTAAGCTATTTTTACATTTTAATTTTAATTTACTTAATTCTAATTAATTTTTTTTTAATTTGTAATTTTTTTAATCTTTTTTATAATTTTTCCTTAATTCATTCATATTCTGTTACTGGTTTTCTTCATTTAATTCTTCTGCTAATGTTAAATGAAAAATCTGCTTATCACTTTGAAAAACCTAAAGAGCATTCTGAAAGATTTTTTTTTAAATGTTAAAAAGTAACTGTATTCTGAACACTGCCTTTTCAACATGTATCGTAATACAGATACTTCATTTCTGTCTTTGAAATATGTGTTCCCAAAACTTGTTTTCCGTTACATCCCGACCCTTCTTAATTTAACAAATGCTTTCTTCTTTTTCTATGTGAAAGCTATTCCAGACGAGGGCTGCCTGTACAAGCACTGTTCTAACCTTCATACACTATTACCGTTTTTTTACTTTTTTACTGTAGTCATGCCACTCGTGTTTATGTTGTACCTTTTTGATGCATTGAAGGAACTGAGATAAAAGGCCATCAGAACATTAACACCCTAAAAACGTGGCGCACCTGATCTCATAAATAACTTTATTTGTTTACATTTCTATACATCATACAGACCTAAATGTGTTTGTCCAGCTGATAAACCGTCATTCTCATATGCTTACCTACTACTGTGAGTGGAGGCTGCAGAGAAGGAAGGAAAAGTTCACTTATTAAACATCCAAAACATCCACAAACCATAACTTATAATAAAATACATTACATATATAGTCAAACTGTTTCCTTCAGTTCACTCACCATTAATGACGCAGGGGTTATAGCCAGGCTCAGCAGAAGAAAAGTAAGGCAATCCATCACCACTGTGAACAATAATCAGATCATTTTTCATAAACTTATTACTTAAAATGATTGATTAGCGTAAACAATCTAGGTTTGATTAGCAAGGAGTCATTTAAGCTCTTCAGCTGTGTTTCCCAGCTTGTAGAGCAGCTGACTGCACTGCCTCTAGACTTATGTAGACTTATGTCATACCCACACAACCATCATCAAAGAACGTATAAACTGAAGGTACTTCCTCTAAGTACTTAGTACTTAGTACTTCCTCGATTTGTTTAAAACTGATTTCATCTATATATGGACATTACACATATTCTGTTGGTGGTTTACAGGCTAAAAAGTTCATTGGCTGTTCCTTCAGTCGTTCCACACATTGGTAGGAGGAACAGGAGGAAATAAAGCTCCATGGTGCTTAGATGTTATCATGATCGCAGCCTGTCTATCTTGCATGTGATCACCAGACAGCACAAACTGAGTCTTTTGTCTGTCCACCTTTATTTACTCAGCAATGCCGTCGCCAGCCATTACATGTTCTAACAGCACTCATAAGACAACGTGCAGGTCACGTCAGAACTTTCAAATAGACCATTCTCACACTTCAGTATTCGTTAATGTTTATGCGGAAGCATAAACAGTAACATGACACTGTAAACGATGGCTGAGAGATGTGCTGCATTCCTAAATGCAAAAATAATTCAACCAAACATCCTCAGCTGAGTTCTCACTTGATCGAGTTAGACTTCAGCGGAAAATCTCAGCTTGTGCTGTGTCGCTTTTCACGAGGAAAACTTGAACTGGAGAGCCTAGTCTATACACAGTCCATACAGTCAATACAGTTTTACTTGAATGTGTGATTAAAAAATGCTCTGCGCAAAGATAAATATAAATTCACTGGCGTATGCACCATTCAGTTATTATCACCGAGGTTTACTTGAGAACATGTCAAAGGACATTTTCTCTGTCTTTGCATATCTTCTTAAATTCACCTTTAAAGGTACTTGCATATAACAAAACCGCTGCAGCAACTTCAGCAGCTGTAAACTCTCTGCACACCATTTTACATGTGTCTCCGATGTGGACTGAATAAAGAATGAAGGGTTTCTGACATGATGGGTCAGTGCTTAGTGATTTCCTGAGTATCCATTGGTCAGTTTCACACAAATGTTGACAGACAGTGAGTCACATACGATCTTCGCAATAAGATGGAACCATATTTCTATGATCTTCGAGTTTGTGGACCCTAAAGGGTCAATGCAGAATATGATGTGTCCCTTTGCTGGTTGTGGTTTTCAAGGCTTTTGCCGACATTGCTAACGTTCACATGGGCTGAGAAGGAAGAATTAAACTTGGTCGACTTTTTGTCGTCAGAACTGAGTCGCAATAAAGAGTTTTTTAGTTTGCCCTTTTAGTGTGAGGTATGATGAAGTATCAAGCTTCCAGTCCCAACACTGCTCATAAAAATTTGCATGGCCGACTGAAAACTGCGGCCTGTTAAACGGTGCAGACAGAAGTTTGATAAGGCTGTTATTTAGAGCCTGGTGTGATGACGCAGTGACTGAGGAAGGTCTGTGAGGTTCTTTTGGTAGCACTTTACAGACTTGTGGTTAAGATAAGTGGGTAATGATATGATAATATTATGGTAACAAGTTGTACTTAGCAAAAAATTACATGGTCATGTTCAAGTTGTTACTAAATAACAAGTTTTTAATTGTGACATTAATAGATTGGTAATAATATGGTAGAATAATGGAAACAAGCTGTATTAACTGAAAAATGACATGCTAATGTTCTAGTTGTTACTAAATAATAAGTTAACATATGTTACGGTAAAGTATAAACATGTTGTATGAAGATCCCAGATTTGGCGGGGTTTGGACCATTTTGTATGTTTTTAAGTATTAACAGCAAACGTCCAGGCTCAAGAAGAAGGTCCGGCTTGATGTTTAAGTCTCAAATGCAAAATTAATATTATACTGAAGAGGATATGATGATGACAGTAATTCACTCACATCTTTGAAAGACACGTCTGTCTCTAAGTTTTGACTGAGTTCTTTTTGAAAACCCTTTCAATCATCAGATTGATCCCCTCAAGGAAGGAGTCTGAAGCACAACCACACAAATTTTTTTCGGGACACTGTGTGCAATTCCCCAAAACCCCCTCCAAATCCCCAAAACATACATAGTTCAGCTTTAAAATAATTTGCTGGTTTAAATAAAAATTTGTATAAAAATTTATATAAAAATCACAATTATTCTGATATGTAAAAATTAATAAGACACTACAATCTCAGCAAAAAAGGTGCTGAACTGTCATTGGGGTGGTACCTTCAAGTGTACATCTACACCTTTAGTTGGGGAACAAATTTATACCATATTCCATTGAAAAAGCTCTATTGACTTTATAAACCTTATCTTGTCTCCGGCCTTTTCATATTACTGCTGTAAAGCTGCTCCAAAATTAGATTATGAATCGGTTGATGTACCTTTAGGGGCTTTACCTTTAGGCTTTGCTTGTACCTTGATGAACAAAAAAATATACCTGTACAGCATTTTTTTCTGACAGAGTAGAAGCTGTAAAAAAAACAAAACAAAATTATTAACAACTAGAAAAATACTCAAATTATTGAATTACAATGTCTAAAAATACTTCTGTCTAAAAATAATAATTTCAAATCTACATTGTTATCATGCATATTATTAATATAACAAGTGATTCCAAACATTTGAAGAGTGGTACATTTTCAAGATTATTTAGGATCAATCTGGAATTTTCACTTCTCATGCTGTAGAAATGAATCTTTGATTGTTTCAGATATAAAAGTGTTAATCATTTAATTTCATTCACCACAGGCTGTTTGGTGCCTCTACTTCCCCATTTCACTGTGTGTTCACACCACTGTATGTAAGTTCCAAATCACTGAAACTGGATGAGGTGAAGAAATAATGGACAGTGTGTGTGAGGTGTTGGTTCATGCAAAGTCTCGTGCAAATCAACAACGAAAACGCGCTACACTAAAGAAAGACTGTTCCTCATTACTTTGCATGGAACTTGAAAGGTTTTTTGTGAACGATGCACAGCATCTTCCTGCTTATGAATATGGCCCTAAATATAAATAAATAAATGATGTCAGGGCTTGACATTAAGCTTTTTATCTAGAGATCTTCTGTGGCCTTATTACAGAAAAACAGTTCATAATCTTATCCTAACTCCACATAAGAAAGCAGTGTTATAGAAGCATCCTAACTAGACAGAATTTCCGAAGCGCTGTCCTAACTTGGGGATACCACCAGCAGTGTCCTGACTTCTGTTTTGTATCCTTCCATTTCTATTTTCAGTCGTTCAGTTGAAAAAAGAGAATGTTGTCTTTAGTCAACTGTGACAGGCAGCATGACAAGTTCATTGTAACTAGCATAATGATGGTACATTTATTCGTAATGCAAAACGTGTGAGAGTGGGGTTTTTTTTGCACCCTAACACCCTTGTTTATGTGTTTCAGAAGACATCACAGTGGTGGTGGTGAAAAATAAGGAGACAGCTGAACGTGTGGCTGTTTAGGAGTAATAGCACTAGCATGGCTTGCACGGCAGCTAAAGCTTTGGGAAAACTAAAATTGGATAGCAACCATGCCCCATTAAACAGCAGGGCAGACGGGGTCACAATATTATTAACCTTTTCAAACTTTCAGTTTATTGTACTTTAGTTTTAGTTGCATTTAGTTTGCACATATTGTTGGTTGCGTGCTAACAGACATAACAACTGATTATTAACTTCAGTGGAGTAGTTTAGGATTTCCTAACATGAAATAAGATGCTGGAAGATCAGATATAACTCCTAAATTTAGGTAAGATCTGCCTGAATCTTACCTTGACCCTGAGAGAGAAAGAAATATTAGCTTACTTGATTTAACTGGTGTTACTTTCTTAGTCTTTTACAACCATCTTGCCATTAAACCTCAGTCAGTATTATTGTAGCATGTTACCGATATAAGGGTGTAATATTATGGTTACCTATAAATTACATGCTAATTTTGTAGTTGTTGCTAATTTATAAGTTAGTAGTTGTGGCAGTAACAAGTCAGTAATAAGCAAAATAAGTTGTACTAACCTAAACATTACATAATAAAAACTAACGATGTTAATAAATAATAAGACAGTAATTAAAGTGGTAACTAGTTCGTAATGGAAATTTTTTACACTTGTAGTAAAAGGTCCAGCTATTGTAGCACATAACTGCTTTATTAACATATCACTCCAATTCTTTTAAATCATTATAGAGTTTTATAACCCCAAAAATAAGTAATTTTGCTAAAGTTACATGATATTAGAGCTGTTAAATACTAATGTAGTCATTTCTACATTGTTTTGTACCTATTATGTATTTAAATGCTTGGTTGCACTGTGATGTACAGGCTGCATTTATAGTGAAACTGAATGTTATTAGATCTGTAAAATGCAAACTTACGTATGCAAATATACGTACAAAAGTTTACTTCAGCTATAACTTAAACTGTCATCTGGTACACCTCCCTTCTGTGAGCTCAGAAGTTCACCCCTGTTAGAAAGTCCAGTGCATATAGTCCATAGTCTGCTTCCCTATATTCCCTTTTTAGGAGGGCTCCAAGCTCTCTAGTAAGCCAATGTTTTATTCAATCTTTTCCTTCATTACATAGAATCGGGGGCTGTGTTAACAAAACACTGTTGCACTGTTATAAAGCAGGGATCTGACAAACAGCTTCAAAATTAGTTCCGTGATGAACTTAGAATACACCACAAATATCTTTATCTTTCTTTATTTGAACTTATTATTTAGTAACAACTAGAAAATGGCATGTAATCCTCCATTACCAACTTTTATTACCAACATGTTACAATTACTGTTACAAATACTAACTTACTATTTAGTAACATCTATCAGCATGTAATCAGCATGTAATTGACAAATACCAACTTTTATTACCAACCTGTTACAAATACTAACTCATAAATAACTTATTATTTAGTAACAGCTAGGAAATTGGCATGTAATACTAATAAAATATCATGTAAGTATAACTTTGTACCATATTACCACCCATTTATTACTGTAAAGTGCCACAGATGTAACTGTAGTTATAGAATAAATGTTTTCATGCTGTCAACCTTTCTCAGAGTCAAAGTTTAAAAATTACAGTTACATGTGAGAAGTGAACCCTGAGAGAATCTCACATCAGCTTTTGGCAGCGTCAACATTACACAAAGGCTCTAAAACCCCGACACAAAAAACTAAAGACACTAAGGAATGTAAAATACAAATACAGGGTGGTAAACGTAAGGGGGATCGGTTGTAGAAATTTGTAAACATGATTTACAGATGATTTACTACAAGACGACAAGTTTGAGTGTTTTAGAGTAGACACGAAGAAACAGACAACTGCACTGCAGTGGAGTGGAGGGTACAGATGGTCTGAAAATCATGAATGGCAAAATACACATGCTTTTAAATTCACACTCAAACCAACACAAGACCGAAATGGAGGTTTTTTGAGAAAATTTTAATCTTGAATTGCATTTTCATACAGAAAACAAATCCGATTAGAGAGATGATTGGTAGATGAAAGATGAAATTGTGTTTTCTTCATGACTGAAATATACCGTACCTTTCTTAATCAACCAGTAAATGTGAGAATCTAATGCCATTTCCTGAAATCACAACCTTAAACCTCAGTCCTTAAACCTGTTTATTCATCTTATATAGCAAAGGAAAGTTTATTAAATAGATATTAAAATAATACCACTAAGGTTTAAGGAAACTAGAAAGCGAATGAGCACTTTCATTATCAATTGTGGAGCTGCTTTTAACGTACCTTCCAAACACATGGACAGGCCGCTGCAGACTGCCTTACCTTGGGGACTGGGTGGGCGGACCCTGCTGCACTGCGATTTTTCATTGGCTAAAAGGGCTGTAGGCTGGATTTGGCAAGTGTTCAACAGAACTTTGGTCATGCACATGCTTTAGGAACAGAGTAAAACAATTGTGTGCAGAGTTCCTATAAAAACAATTGCCTTTGTTTCAAAATTTTAAGCTGTCACACCACTCCATTCTGACTTTTATTCCCAGAATGGTGTACTGGTTCTGCCCTGCCTATTTCCAACCCTGTCAGCATCCTTTTGTACCAGTAAAGACAATACACTCACCGAGTACATTATTAGAACACCTTTACACCTACTCATTTATGCAATTATCCAATCAGTCAATCATGTAGGAGCAGTGCAGTGCATACAATCAGGTATATCATGCATGAGCCAGCAGCTTCAGGCAATGTTCACATCAACCGTCAGAATGAGGAAAAAATGTGATCTCAGTGATTTTTGGCATCTACAGTTTACACAGAATCTGCAGGAATTGCGTGATGGAATCAAATCAACAATGCCACGATTCCCAAATGTATGTTGCCAATATCTTGTGGAATCCATGCCATGAAGAACTGAGGCTGTTTTGAGAGCACCGGGAGGCTCTACCCAGTATTAGCACAGTGTTCCTAATAAAGTGCTTGATGAATGTAAACCACCCACCACTAGACTGAATTATCTTGATAAGGTCATGTACTACTAATGGATTAAGGCTACGTTTACACAACAGGTAAAAGTGGTCCAAGTCCATCTGATGTTTTTGTTTGGCTGTTCACATTATCTTGTAAATGTGACCCAAATACGACTTTAGTCTGAACAGATCAGCTCCTAAACCGACCCGCATGCGCAAAAGAACAATGCTTTACATGGCGTGCTCGTCCAGAGGTGAACAATCATGATGGCCAACAAACATCAGTCGTTCCTGGAGGGTTCAGTTTCATCACTGCCAGCGTCACAGGAGCCATCATTAAGTTCCAATGGTTGACAGCTGGGCTCATCACCCACAGTGTGTTCGAGTTTGTCGTAAAAAGGGCTCGTTATTCGGCCACGGCCACTTCTTTGGTTCGTGTCCTCGGATTCTTTAAACTGTTCTTTGACGCTGCAGCCTCGGTCTCCTATGGCCACGTTCAGCCGTTTCGTTTGAAACCTCTTCGAACACGGAGAGGTTGCGATAAGTCTCCAAGTTTTTGGTACAGAAACATCAGCCTAAATGTTTATGAGTCTCAGCAGCTTGAAATTGTGCCAAATTTCGAGGTGGATTGACCCAAAAGTCGCATGAATTCTGCTCTGGTTGTTCAGACTGAGTCACATTGCCACAGATCGGATACGTATCAGGTTTCAGTACCACATATGAAAGCGTCTCAAATCGGAATTGAAAATGTCAGATTCAGTGCGTTTTTTTGCTGTTCACACTGACACACAGATGAGACATCTGTGTCAGCTACGGAGAAAAAGATCTGATTTGGGCCACTTTTACCTGCTGTGTGAACAAAGCCTAAGAATCACAAAAATTACACAAAATAATCATAACTACATGATTGATATATTATGGCCAAGGGATTGCCAAAAAAAGTGGGTGGAGAAGATTAGAGGCACCATGGAGTTGTGATGATCTGGCTGCTAGTTTACTATCAGGAGGACCCAAGCCAGCAGGAGGGCGACAGAAGGATGCACACTATTGGCCCCAGAACATAAGATGTCCAAGCAGTTGCTGAATGAGAAGAGGCAAAAGGAAATAAGTCATTACAAAGAAGCATTTAAACAAGGTTTGATTTTTTAGTAATAATCCACATCATGAACATTTGTAGACAAATGGACTTATTCGCATTCATGAAGTCAGCTTCTCTTTCAAATTGTCCCATTCCACCATTCAACAGGAAAATTCAAACAAGAAGCTGATGAATGAGAAGCGACTTCAGCTTCGTGAAACAGTCGAACATTGAGAGACATTTTACAAGAAACTATTCCACTTTTGAGGAAAGGTTTCCTGCCGGAGATGCAAGAAAAGCAGCTATAGCTGAGCTAAAGCTTAAAGCAGAGCAAAGTAAGTCTGCGTTTTAGTTTATATTTTTAGTCTACATTAGTACATTAGCTCATACTGAGACATATTGGACATTATATGTTGTTGCTCTTAACATCTGGGTTGTCCACTCCTGACCTAACCTAGCTTTTAATGCAGAGGGTGCCGGTCGGATTTCTCACTCATACATTTGTGTTTTTGTTATGTGCCGCCACAGACTGTCCGGACGCTTCACTTCCATAATTCCATAAGTTCCGCCTTTTGCGTTCTGTCAACATTACGTTATCAATGAAAATTTGCGAATCAATTCAGAATCATCCACGTCAGCATCACGATGCATCTAAGAATCAATCCCCCCCCATCCCTATAAATGATCAGTTCTGTCATGAGAAATACTGCTCACAGTCTTCACTGTGCTTCATCATTAATCTGCATACATTTCTATGAATTTGTACATAGAGTGGGCCATGTTGGCAAAAACCTTTTTTTCTATGAATATAGAAGGTCAACCAGTGAAGATGGCCTTAAATATTTACATTTATAAATGTCTCTAGTTGCCTTTGATTCTATTTATCATGATTGGAAGACCACAGTGGGAATGAGTACCTTGGTGGAGTTGTAGTTATATTTGTGGTTGTAGAGGAGTTGGAAATAACTCTGGAGGAAAAAAGGAGAGAGGTTTATTTATGAAGTTGTTTACTTTTAAGTATTTCACTTAACATGTTTTATTTGAAAATGTGGTAACACTTTCTATAAATGTCATTTCCAATATAATATAAGAACACATTCATGTTATAATACATTCATAATGCTATCTTTTGAGTCCAATGGTAATGTGCTTTACTCCACTCCAGCCAATGCCTGAGCTCTTCAGTAAGGACCATTCTACTGCTAGTGTTTGCCTATAGAAATCACTGTCTGCATGGCTGTATACTTGATTTCATACACTTGTTAGCAATGAGTGTGGCTGAAATAGTCGAATTTGTTAATTAGACGGGGAGTGCATGTACCTTTGGAAATGTAATGTAACTATGAGCAATTACACAGACTTAGGCAGGGCATTATGTGTGCCATGTAAGTGTTACCAGATTTTGTTTTGTGACATTAAGGCATTACATAAACCGCAAAGGACTTGAATTCATGTTCACCGTGTTGTGCAGGATCCTTCTTGAGCACCCTGATAAGGAGAGACATTGAAGTTCTTCACTGATACTTTAGGGCAGGGCAAAGAGTTATTCTGCTGCAGCGCTGAGACGTCTGTCCACAATCACAAACAAGAGATTAGTTGAAAGGTTTTAAATAGGACATATGGAATATACACCTCAGTGCAAAAATGGGCCATACCCAAAATACTAATGGTTAATCCTGATGGTTTAATCCTGGTCAGAGACCAGATTTAAACTTACTGGCGTCAAATTAAACACAAGCTAGTTTGGCAGTGTTTTCCAGCTGTTTGTAACCATCAGTGCTGATTGGAACAATATTAACTCATAATTTTTAACTCATAAGTTTAGAAACGTAACTTCAATATTTAAAGAAATCAAAGAGAAGAGCTCTCCCAGACTGACTTACTTTATCTATTTGTTCAGTTCTTACTAATTTATTGGCCAATTATTTGTTGGCAGTTAAAAGGCAATTAAAAGCTTAATGCTTAGCCATTTCAGCCTTAGCCTACTTTTTTGCACAGGAGTGAAAACATATATATATATATATATATATATATATATATATATATATATACACACATATATATACAGGAGTGAAAACATATATAGATACACACACATATATACATATACACTGACCAGCCACTACATTAAATACACTTTTGTTTCTAGACTGATTGTCTAGTAGTAGTCCATGTTTCCTGGTGTACTTTTTTAGCCCACTTTCTCTCTCTTCTTCAATGGTCAGGACCACCACAGAGCAAGTATTATTTTGTACTGGTCTGAGTGGATCAGACACAGCAGTGCTGCTGGAGGACACCTCAGTGTCCCAGCTGGACTGAGAACAGTCCACCAACCAAAAAAACAGCATCCTGTGACCACTGATGGAGGACCAGAGAACACAAACAGTGCAGCAGCAGATGAGCTACTGTCGCAAACTTTACATTTACAGGGTGGAGCAATAAGGTAGGTGTATCCAATAGGGTGGACAGTGAGTGGACCCAGTGTTTAAAAAAAAAAAAACTACAGTGTCTGACCCACTCTTACCAGCACAACACACACTAACATGTCAGCATCACAACAGTATGACTGCAGTGCTGAGAATGATCCACCACCCAAATGATACCTGCTCTGTGGAGGTCCTGTGGTGGTCCTGACCACTGAAGAACAGGGTGAAAGGGGGTAACAAAGTATGTAGACAATGAGAGAGACTACAGTCTGTAATTGAACTACAAAGTGCTCCTGTACAGTAAGTGGAGCTGATAAAATGGACAATGAGCGTAGAAACAAGGAGGTGGACTTAATGAAGTGGCCGGTCAGTGTATAAGCTATATCTGTGCAGACACTACTATATAAAAGTTTGGAATCACTTGATATACTAACAGTTTTTGTTATTTCATGCACAAAAGTAACCAGCTTGGTTTTATATTAGTGAAAACAATTATTCCAAACTTTTAAACAAGGATTCCAAACTCTTGACTGCTAATGTGTATGTTTAAAAACATTAAATATATATTCAAATATTAAAAACATTTCAATAGACACAAAACATAAGTATGTGTATTATCTTAGTATGACAGGTATCATCCTATTATTATAATTATGATTATCTCAGAATGGCATTTATATCACTTAGCTGGTAAAATAAAAGCACACCTTGCATGCTGATGAGTAGGATGAGATCACCTCCTTTGACAAACTCCCTGTCATTGAGACGGGCTTTTTTCAAGAACATGTTAAACAACTTTGCAGAATTGACTTTTACAGTTTCGTTATCACCAGTGATTGCTTCAGATCCAACTTCACTAGGTCTGCCCCAAAACTGTCGATCTGAAAGAAAAAATATGAAAGCTAATGCTTTGATTACATTCACATATCATCATCGTAAGAAAAAAAAAAAACAGTTAACATTTACTTAATTACATGTAACTACCCACCTCTGGAAAAGATCAAAGGAAAGATTACACTCTGGGATAAGGTAAACATGAAGAGGTTATAGAAAACTGGTACGACACTTACCGCTGACATGAGAGGAAAAAAAAGGTTCGTTTGTTCAAGTTCTTACCAGATATGTCAGTTGTGATGCTTTCTTCATTCGACATGCGCTGTTGGATGTCGGGGTTCTGGTCCAGCAGTACTAAAGTCACTTGTCTCCATGGGCAGGGCCACTGTAGCTGGTCATCATTGACACCAGATACCAGTCGCACGTAGAAGAAAACCGCGTCCTGATTCAGTCTCAGAAATACCTGATAGCGATAGCCGTCAGGTGAGTAATACAGTGGGCTGAATATGTAAGTGCCAGGTGCAGATTTGTTCCAAAGCTCCATGAAGTTCTTGATCTGCCATACATTATGAGGACACTCTGATTGTGACAGGTTGATATCATCCACTGAGAGGCCTCCACTGGAATATCCGGCTCCTTTCCGTGCTTCAAATTCCACTAGGAATGGCTTGCTCGCATTCAGCGGAACATAGCGGAGCTGCCAGTGATTAGTGGGAGATCCTGAAAACATTTTTTGAGTAGCAAAATTATTCTACTTACACTTACTTGCCATTTAACCAGGTACATTTATCACATACATGCAAAAACTAAAATATGTCAGGTTGTGTTCTGCTCTCCCCAATACAATTATTGACTGTATTACCCATCTTTTGTTACAATTTATCAGCCTCCCTCAACCCCATCCTGCAATACAAAGGGACCACCGTAGAACCACTGCTGGCTATATCTGGGTGATGTACCATGCTTAGTACCGCAGTAATGCCAACAGTTGATGCATAGTTTATGTTATCCATCCTTTAGCCATTCATCAGTGATAAGTTTCTGACTAACGAGTCTCTCTTGGCTGGATATTTTTGGGTGGTGTTCTACTCTCAACCTAGCCATGACACTTACATGTGTAGAAACCCCAGCACCACACACACTACCATGTTTGTGTCTCTGCCGCACACCCAAATAATATCTCGTCAGCAGTGGTTACCTGGTGGTCTCATGTTATTGATGTAAGGAGTAGAGGGTGGCTGATAAATTGTGCAGCCACAGATGGGCTTTTATTATATTTGTAAACACACAAAGTGCACTTATATGGTAGATGTACCCAATGAACTGGCAACTCAGTGTATGACAGAGTTTGAAGTTGTATCATCAGCTAATTGGAAATCACCTGTGATCTGGTCCATGAGTCTGAGGGTTCCTATGGTGTCAGTATCATTCTGGTACTCTCTGATCCAGACGTTAAGCTGGTCAGTCTCATTCCCGCTGTGATAGTAGAAAAACTGCAGGCACTGGACGTGGCAGTCTCTGCGGGGTGTCATCTCCTTACTCGCCAGTCGGCCTGAGTCTCCTTCCTGTCCAGTCTTTGTGCTGATGTGCATGAAGAAAGACGGCCCTGCAGACAATAGTACACACACTGGCACTCAAAATAAGCAGTAAAGGTTGTAAGTACAGGACCATGCAAGTCAACTGACAGTGACACTTCTATTGTTTTGGCTCCAGCACACTGGATTTAAAATGTGAGAAAATTACAGGGTAAACTGCCAAGTGTCACTGAACTCAGTGATGGTCTAATGATTTTTTTCTCTCTGGATACACATTTTTCCATGATTTTCCATAAAAATGTTGCCTTGCATTGGAAAGAAATATTAAACACTTCCCAGATCGTGAAATGATGGGTACTTGGGCAAACATTTTCTTGTGGTGGTAGAACTTCATCTCTAATCTCTCTATGTAATGTAATGCTATTTTACAGTGGCAGAAGAGCATTACATTGCAGGAGGAAAAAGGACCAGAGATGCAAGTAACAAGTAAGCATCAAGTCCCGGGTCACGATAGTCGAGTCTCGATTCAAGTCCCAAGTCAGTATAGGTGAGTCTCAAGTTGACTCCCAAGTCAGTAGTCTTAATGTTCGAGTCCTAAACAAGTCAGTATGCATTTTTTAGCTAATTTAAGGCCATAGTACTGAATACAGTTAACAGTACTATAGGCTTTTAATGACAGCCTGTTAGCAGTTTATGGCTGTATATTGGTTTTTATAATTTCTTTTTTTACCCTTCTAACTAAAAAAACTAAATCCATGGTACACAGATAACTATGAAAGTATACTGGTATACACAAAGAGTAGTGCACTACACATGAAACGTTCCTGCACCATTTAAGGTGGAATGGAAAATCCGAATAAGAAGCTGCTGGCGGAAAAAGTCAACTTCAACTGCTGAGCTAGTTTTTATTTTAATCCTATGGGCCCAATGTTCCTAAAATATAAGGTTGAATTTCAACAGTACTTTTAAAATTCTTTTCCTGCGTAATTGCACTACTCTTTGTGTATACCTGTCATCGTTATCTGTGTACCATAGATTTTGTATTTTAGTTGGAAGAGTTAATAAAAAAATTTAGATACAGCCATACACTACTAACGCACTGTCATTAAGTACTGTTACTATTATTCAGTGTTGTGGCCTTAAATTAGCTGAATTAGCTGAATGCATACTGACTTGTTTAGGGCTTGGAGATTAGGGTTATTGACTTGGGACTCAACTTGAGACTCACCTGTACTGACTCGAGACTTGAATTCAGACTTGACTAGCTTGACCCGGGACTTCAGTGTCAAGACTTAAGGCTTACTTGTCACTTGCATCTCTGGTCTTTTTTCCTCCTGCAGTGTAATGCTCTTCTACCACTGTACATTATGAAAAGAGGACAGAGATGAACAACACATCTGAATATGAAGCTGGCGAATAAGAAGTCAACCGTTAAAATCAGTCAAATAGAGAGAGCTGTTTCTTTTGTTTTGCTACCAAGAGGAAAACGGTCACAAGCTCAGTTACGATGTTGCTGTAGATCAGATTTACGGCAAGAAACGAATATATTCACATGAAAAGTAACCGACTGTGTACACTCCACACTTCACCACTTTAAGTCTTGAGTCTTTACGAGTTTTAAGCCTGAAGTCCTAGTCAAAGTCTGAGTCACTGGTGTTGAAGTCAAAGTTGAGTTGCAAATCTTTCATGATTTTCTCGAGCCTCAAGTCATCAAATTTGTGAATCGAGTCCAAGTCATATGACTCGAGTCCACACCTCTGATTAGGTCTGATTAAGGACATCATTTTAGCCTATGCCCATGTGTGGTTCAAACATCTAGATTTGTAGAAAATGAAGCCCACTAGAAAGTCACTCATCCTGTGGTAATTTTATTGAAATCTAGATACAAGAGTTTCATCACTGAGGAGATACGTAACAATTTTATTTCAGATGTTCTCCTGATAAACTAACCCAGTTCCCATAGGGCTAATGACTATGAGGTTAAAGAGCAAATATCAGCTTTAATTTGCACATATTTGTGTCTATTTTGGCTGAACCATATTGGAATAGGCTTTTTTATAAATACAGTGCTAAGTTTACCGAACTAAATTTAACTGCATAATAGGCCACTCAGTTTTCTTCTTGTTCATTTGCTCCTGTACTACAGGGCTAAGATAGTCCATAATAAATTATTCTAAACATACTAGAAACACTATTCACAGTGTAGGCAGAGATCTATCAAAGACTGCCATAAAAGGAAGAATACACAGTATAACCTCAGGATATTTAATGGTGGAATAAAACTGCAGCATTAGAAGGTAAAGTATTTGGCCTCTCTTCAATGAACAACTGACTGCCTACATGAATACCTGAAGGTATGAATAAATTAATATTTTTTTTTTTAATTATGAAATTAAATGCAGACCAACAGACAGCAGAACAACACATGCATGAATTAATGCTCCACCTCAAATGTGTACCTGATGAAGTGGTGTTCATAGACACGAGGGAAACACCTGAAAAGGAAAATTCAAAATGTTTTCATTTCTTCCAGACTGATATGATACAGTGACACTTAAAGCTAGTATTATTCACCCTTTAAATGGCCAAAGTTTCAATACACAATTCTATAACCTATGAATAGCTCAACTAGTTTGCACTGAATTCCCTGTAGTTACTAAACAATAAGCCTTACTAAGTAATAAGCCAGAGATTTTAAGGGGTCAATATTATGTATGCATGATTTCCCTCTATAAATAGATACACCACCTATGGACTCCAGGTTGGAGTGGTCACTAAAGGGCCCTCCAGATACGCTGCTTGCCATCACCCATCCATTTGCAGCAGAAGAGCAGGTCGCCATCTGACACATGCTGCTATCAAAGCTACAGCGGTCCAGGAAGGAGACGGATTCAGCTGTAATGAACCAGAAAACATAAACCCAGCAACAACTGAGCCACTTTTTTTGTTATGAATTTCCCAGTGGTGAATTTTCCAGCAACTACTGATATAGGATGTATATACAGCAGAAAGAATAGATTTGTTGTGTCAGATGGTTTAGAGCACAACTGGCATGTAAGAGAGCACTTAAGTTATGAGACATGGTAGCTGCAATATTATTGACATTGAAAACACTGTAACACTATATTTCTAAACACTATTAGGCAATGCTAGTGATTAAATTTGCCACTTCCAGGCACGTGCCACTTACTTTGGTCAGATAACTTAATGACAGTAAAGGCAAAATGAAAAGCTAAGACAAAGGGTGTTCATGTCTATTGCAGATTTTGCTGTTTTTAGTGTTTTCAGTAAAAACAAAATCGTGAATTCCCAGAATTTAAAATCACTGTATGGTGACATGACCTAATTTAGCCTGTTTAGGCAAAAATGAATATAAAAATACATACTGCATTTATAGAGCTTGTTGAGCTCAAGCGCATCTGTAGGGCTCAGGTCATAGCGCTGACCAATCACGTCTTGGAACTGAGGGACTTTGGTGATTATGGTGTGTCCGCTCCCATAGGTGAAAGCATCTTGTCCGTAGTGCATCACAGACGTGTAATCGTATGGAGTTCCCTGTGTGGTGCTTATCTGCTCAGACGCCTTATCAAAGTTCCTTGCGTATCCTGAAACCAGTGAGCACACACTATATGATAATATGATAATAAATTAGCTTATCTTGTATAAACTAGTCATCTCTGGTACATTCATGCTCTATCTAACTGAAAACACACATCTGTTGCCTAGAGGGCACATTCTGAAGTATTGAGAAGTGTTGAGACATTAAATCAAAATGATCCTAAAATTCTTCAGAAACATGGTAATGACCTGCAATGATGTTTTCATAAATGATGGTTACGTAGTTGTCTCGATCATATCGGCTCTGTTCGTGATAGAAGCCCAGAGCGTGAAGAAACTCGTGCTCCACAATGCCGATGTATCCACACCCATTTCCAATAGAGAGCTGCTGCCGCCCACCTGTCTTCCCAATATAAGACCAACACCTGTAAGATCAGTGAAAGACTGCACTATTAAAAGAAAGCTTAAAAGTTCTAGTGTGCTGAAAAAGGTTTAGTCTAATTTTTGACAGTTTTTGACACATTTTTAGGCCCAGCCAAAGTTTTTGGAGGTTTTCACAGAAAGCCTTAAATTGATGGTTTGATAAGTCACCATTTGACACCATCTGGTTCTCTGAAGGATCTATTTGTAGTTTGTAAACATGCATCCTCCAAAAGGCTGCCATTTTGGGCTTTTCACACAAATCTGTTTCACGGGTTTACCACAAATGGTGCAATAAACAAAAAAAATACCAGCAACAAAATAGACATGTGCCAAAATTCAGCAATAACGTAAACCGTAATATTCAACAAACACAATACTGTTAACATGCTTTTTTGTCAAAAAAGTGTCAATTTCACTAGATATTTTTCAGATTCTTAGAGCTGCTCTGGTTTAACGTTACCACTGCATTAGCCATGGTTACATCCGACTACTAGCTCAATCAGAATAGAATCCATGTATGTACTTCAGTTGGAATAGACTAGTCCGATTGAGGCCATTTGGAATACAATTTCTGTCCGACTGAGCAAGGTGGGTAATCCTAATATCCATGTAAACGCCTTTATCCGATTACATTCCCAATCGGAAAGTTTAAGTACATTCTGCGCAGGTGCGTTCGCGTCTTAGGAAAAGTTTCAACATGGCAGGAGGAGAAATTTGTTTGCAGAGGAGACGAAGTTTATGCTTTGAGCTTTAAAAGACAGCGGTGGGACGGGCGTCCAGCTTATGTGTCTCAGAACAGGACGTCTTCCTCTCGCCCTTCTTTAATAAGTACATGTGAAGAATACTTGTAGTGAGCATGTAAACAGAAACAGAAGTGTGGTTACTAACAGTGGTTACACTACTTTTTCAAGCAGTGATTAAGAAGCCACATTTATGTCCTTTGAGGCATCACATGTTTTCCTGAGAGGCTTTCATTCATAACACTGCTGTTCTTTCAGTTTCACTTGTAGCTTCATGTTGTCAAAGAACACCTCAGAGAACAAGGAAGCACACATTCCTTGACTTAGCTCATCTCGAAACACAATGAAAAATAAGGTGGACAAATCACGATCTGCCAGCGTCACCATATCGTTATCTATGCTGGGACTGTTACTTATATAGCCCTGTCTATGAAATTACAATATAAAACAACATCAATCTTGCATTCATTTGAGCTCTGTTGTTTTCACAAACTAGGTTAAAAGAAAGTGATTTAAACCACTGGCTCTAGTCCAGACACTTATGAAGACCTTATGAAGAACAAGCTGAGTAAGTTTTATACCTGCTCATCTAGTCTCACTGGATTTTCTGTGCTAGGCGTTACTGTTGAACATGCCAGTGATGAGAAATCGCTTATTTCTCCAAAACAGAGTTTGTTCATTGGAAAACTTGTACATAGAGTTTATTTAACTCCTCTAAAATGATGGGTTCGACTCCCCGGCCGAGCGAGCAGGGTCCTTTCTGTGCGTATTTTCCCTGTGTCTGTGTTGGGTTGCCTTCAGGAGCTCCAGTTTCCTCCCACAGTCCAAAGACATGCAATTGGTGATACCAAATTGCCCCCAGGTGTGAGTGTGTGTGTCTGTGCGTCTGCCCTGTGATGGACAGGCGACCTATCCAGGATGTTTTCTGCATTCCACCCAATGAGCACTGGGATAGGCTCCAGCACCCCCCACGACCAAGGAGGATGAGTGGCTTGGACAATTAATAAGAGATGAGTAAGGGGTACTAGGAACCTTTCAGCATTATTTTTGGCAGCTTGCCATCAGTGTTTCAATCCTAACATTTATTTTTTTTTAAATAAATCTACTGCAAGCTGCTTTTACAACGGCAAAACTTTTACTAGTAAAACCCTGGAATCTCGGGTTTGGTAAGCAGACATGTTTGGGCCCTAACCTTACTGGATATTATTTCAGTGAAGCTTTCAACAGCTTGTCAAGTCTAGGACAGTAGAGGTGTGGAATACTGCCTTTGCAAAACTAAAAATGGCTTATCTCCTCCTACTGAACTTTTATCATTTATATATTTATGTATTATAGTTGACTATTTAATAGATGTTTTTTCCAGCATTATCAGCCTCTTTAGCTTGGTGTATTGATTTACTGTCACAGAACTCCACCCTTATTTCGTTTGTTTGTTTTATTTTTTTTATTTGATTTTCAAATCATACTACTTTTACTTCTACTAAAGTCAAAAAAGGAGTCTTTTTACTCCTTATTACTTATTACATTTTACTTATTACATTTTAGCCATTCATATTTAGTTAATAATTCATTTTTTTGTGTTTTAATTTGCATTGCATTGTGGCAATATTTGTGACTTTGGAGCTTTGTATTTTAGACCTAAAAATCCAAAAAGAGAAGAAAAGAGTCACACAATCTTGAGTTCCTATGCTGATAAATGCTGGTAATAGTTCCACTGCACTGCTCAGTACGTAAGTAGAATTTTGATCTGCTTCTTTTGTATTTCTACTGAAGTTGTTTTGATGATGGTACTTTTACATTTACTTGTGTAATTATTTTATGCAAATATCAATACTTTTTCTTGAGTACTGATTTAGCAAAAATGTGCTCTTTAAAAAATGTATTGAATTCCCTTGCGAATTAGGGCAGTTCAACTGTCTGGTGCAGACCTGAATATGGGTGGAATTGCAGTTTTACTCTGTCTGTTCATGCTGGTCAGTACTTCATGCAGTTTAGGGAGGTTTTTATGCGCATCCTCGAACTCAAAAAGTGGTGGGGCATCGCCCTAATACTATGAAAAGTGGTGAGTCAAATGCCTGCTCGCCACTGTGGTTCCGGCAGCCCTGCACACATATATTCTCAGTGTATGTGTGTGTTTGTGTGTGTTGTTTTCAGTGCATTGTCCTAGCAGACTAAGAAACTAATCTGAGATGCAAGTCTTTGTGGTAGAGTACAATACAGTTAAATGTATTAAACTGATATCATGTAAAAATCACTGTACCCGGTTAGACCTTCCACAGATATGTAGTTGTTCTCTGTTGTCTGGGGCTTAAAGTCAATACATGCTTTCAGTCTCAGCTGCTCGAAGGCTCTTAAAATGACCCCTTTGTCATTTATGCCTGAAATAACAACAACAACAATGCATGAGCAATGCTAACATTGGAAAGTTATTTCAGTAAAGAAATATAATCGCCAAAAAAATTCTTACTGAGAGTTTCATTCAGCATGTAGGGGATGTATCCGTTCCACCGGTATTCGTTCCCCAAAATCGCACTCCTTTGAAGTTCAGATGTACTCTAGTTTTTAACAGGTTTAATAAGCACTAAGTCAAACATGAGGTAGCAGGAAGTCATAATATATAGTATTTAAAGCAAATGTACTACAAAATATTACTTAATCACTAAAAACTAAACTTACCTCCATGATATCTCCTTCCCGAAGATTTAAACCTGGCACAAAAAAATGAATGAAGGATGGGTATATATGGAGCATTAAAAAATTATAATTAAGTAATCAGTATTTACAAGGACTTGGTTATGATCAGTAAAAGGCAGTAATTGAGATAGTAATAAGTAAAATATATACAAAATTATACAACCCCATTTCCAAAAAAGTTGGCATGCTGTGCAAAATATATAAAAAACAAAATGCATGATGTGCAAATCATTTAACCCTTATATTTAACTGAAAATAGTACAAAGACAACATATCAAATGTTGAAACTGCAACAAAAGGCTGGTAAATTTGTGTAACGCTAAAAAAAATACACTGGTGGTTGATTGGCAACAGGTCAGTAACAGAGTCTTTAAGAAGTAATGATGAGTAGGGGTTCACCACTCTGTGAAAGACTGCACGATGAAATATTGCAACAATTCAAGAATAACATTTCTCAACACAAAATAGCAAAGAACCTTTGCTTTTCCATCATCCATGGTACATAATAACATTAAAAGATTCAGAGAATCTGGAGAAATCTCTGTATGTAAGGGACAAGACCAAAAACCAGTATTTGCTGGCCGTGATCTTTGGGCCCTCAGGTGGCACTGCATTAAAAACAGGGATGATTCTGTAATGGAAATCACTGCATGGGCTTGGAAGCACCTCTGAAAACCGCTGTCTGTGAAAACAGTTCATCACTGCATCCACAAATGCAAGTTAAAACTCTAAAATGCAAAGAAGAAACCAGATATAAACAGGATCCAGAAATGCTGTCACCTTCTCTGGGCCCGAGCTCATTTAAAATGGACTGAGGTGAAGTGGAAAAGTGTTCTGTGGTCTGACAAATCAACATTTGAATTTCTTTTTGGAAATCATGGACAATGTGTCCTCCGGGCTAAAGACCACTCAGTTTGTTATCAGTGCACAGTTCAAAAGCCAGTATTCATGATATTATAGGGGTGCCTTAGTGCACATGGCATGGGTACGCGGCACATCTGTGAAGGCACCATTAATGCTGAACGATATATGCATGTTTTGGCATGCATTTTTAAGGAAGGCCTTGCTTATTTCAGCATGTCAATGCCAAACCACATTCTGCATGTAGTACAACAGCATGGCTCTGTATTAAAAGAGTCTGGGTGCTAAACTGGCCTGCCTGCAGTCCAGACCTATCACCCACTGAAAACATCTGGCACAATATGAAATGAATAATATGACAAAGGAGACCCCGAACTGTTCAGCAGCTGAAATCCTGTATGAAACAAGAATTGGAAAACATTTCACTTTCAGAACTACAGCAGTGTCTCCTCAGGTCCCAAACACATACAGAGTGTTGTTAAAGAGGTAATGGAACACAGTGGTAAACATGCCCTCATCCCAACTTTTTTGGAACGCGTTGTTGGCATCTAATTCAAAATGGGCATATATTTTTCAAAAAACAATAAAAACAATTTCAACATTAGATATGTTGTCTTTAAAAATAGGATTTACATGATTTGCATATCATTGTATTCGATTTTTATTTACATTCTGCACAGCGTCCCAACTTTTGGAAATGGGATTGTAATTTATAGGATGCTTTCTATTGGAAGGAACTTCTAAATTTCAACGTAACAATAATTACTTTTTTAGTATTTATTTTTAATGTAAGATCATTTGGATTTCTTTTAAAGTTAAAACATTATCACGAGTTTCATTTTTAAATTAAAAAACTTCATAAAAAAATGCCCTTCCCCATTTTCATGTCACCACTGAAACAGTTTTAGTGCATCGGCAGAGCCTTATTTTAGCCGCACTCCAGCTTTTAGAGCAGGAAGTGAGACTGCATCCCCTGTGAGCATGGTGAACAGTTAGATCTCATTGTTTTGAAGTAAATATGTCCCAAAGTCAGTGTGTAACATTAGGAATTAAAGAACTACCAAAACATATTTCATGCAATTAAGTACATTTTTTGTGTTTAAATGAAAAATATTAGAATTTAATGTGCATACAACTGTTCAAAGCTGTGTTTACTAGTCATGTACTGGCTATGATTATGATTGTTTTGACAGTGACACAATCATTAAGGTATAGGGTCATTCAGGCTTGAGACTGGAGACTCAAAGTGGAAGAAACGTGGAGAGGCTTGTGACTACAGACAGGACTCTACACAGTTGATTTTTTTCATGTGAATGAATTTGTTTCCTGCTGTAAATTGAATAAACAGCAGTGTTGTCAGATGTCTGTCACTGTGCTTATACTTGGTTTATTTTATTTCCGAAGTCAAGAGAAGCGTTAGAGTTGAAGTTCGCCTGGTAAAAAAAGTCAACTTCAGTTTCGTACATTCACCATCATTTGCTGTCTTTTCTGTAAACTTTGTTCAGCTCAGGTTGGTGGTTTTAGTTTCTGTTGTTGTCTAAATTCAATTCAAACTAGCAGTTGTTTTTAGTTTGCTGACCTAGTTTTTATTTTAATCCTTTGCACCCAGTGTTCCCAAAAGTCATCTTCAAATATATATAAAGTTCAGTAGTACTTTTAAAATTCTTTTCATGTGTACTGCTCTACTCTTTGTGTATACAGTATGTCTGTCATGGTTATGTGTGTACCATGGATTTTAGTTGGTAGGGTAAAAAAAAATAAAATAAATAAAATAAATAATCAATAAAAAATTTATATACAGCCATTAAAAGGCCATAGTACTGTTACCATTATTCAGTGTTATGGTCTTAAATTAGCTGAAAAATGCAGACTGACATATTTAGGACTCAAAGATTAGGACTATTGACTTGAGACATGCCTATACTAACTTGGACTTGAATCAAAACCCGACTGTCTTGACTTGCAACTTGACTCGGGACTTCAGTGTCAAGACTTGAGACTTACTTGTTACTCGCAACTCAGAGACTTGATCCCACCTCTGCTTTTTACTACATTAATGTTTGTTATTCTAATATTATATAGATTTTATCACAAGCAAAAACACACTTATTGCCTAAAGAAATGGTTTTAGATGTTTAAGGGAAGTGAGGTTATTTAAATGTTCTAATTCCAAGTAACTCCCAGGTCATAATGTTCTAATTCATATCAATATGAAAAGGCAAAAATGTATACATCAAGGATTCATAAGAACAACAAAGAAACAATCATTAACATATCACTGTTGTCAGAAGAAAACCTTGTATCTCCAAAATGATAACTTTACAGGAGAAGGAAAAAAATCCACTTTACTTTTAATGTAAGTCAATGGAACCAGACTTTTTTCCAAGTCATTTTGGTTCTGTTCCTTTGGTCCATTCTTCATGAAATTTACACACAATGTAAAGAGCAACATTTTCAAGTTTTGTCAAAAAATGAAAAACCTTTTTTTTCCTGACAACAGCAAAATAAATATACAATTTCTTTCACGTTTTCAGGGGTGCTGTATTTTGTAGTATCTGAGAAACGCAGCTCATACACATAATCATGACCCCTTTTTGTTAATAAATTAGTCTTACCTTTGTTTATTTCAGGAATGTCCTTTCTGTCACCAATAACATCTGAACAGAAAAGATGACACACAATGACTAAAGAGAACCTGACATTTGAAAACTAATAGTGTAAAAAATTCAAGTGGCAAAGGTGAGTGAGCAGGATGTATGATGCAAACATGATTTGTAAACAGTTTGGATGTTGTCATTCGTCTGTATATTAACTGTTATTTATTGAATATGCCAATTAAAACGTCTTTTTTCCCTGAAAGCTGAGCCCAAAATCAACAGTCTGCACTAACACTTTGCTCTATTACTGTATTTTTCCACATAACACCACGTTCAGAGTGAGAGACGGGCTGGTATGGTGGTGGTAACTTTTGTATTCAGTGTCCTTTTTCCCTTTGGACACTTCGTAGGAATTAAGTTAAGAGATAAACAGCATTCAAAACAATGTAATACACTAAAAATGTGCTATACAAGAGGGACGTGAAGCCAACGATGGTTTCATCGTTTACATTACTGCAAATGACAAACACATGCCTACTTAAAAATGTATTAGTGTAATTATTTTCATTCTCATAAGCTTACCTGCTACACCTGGTGGGGGCTGAGAAGAAAGAATACAAAGTTCACATATTAAACATACAAAACATCCCTTAAACAATTACTTAAACCATAACCATATTCTAGAATAAACTATATTATGGATATAGTAAAGATCTTTCTTTCGTTACACTCACCATTAATGATACAGGCGAGATAGCCAAGCTCAGCAGAAAAAAAGTAAGGAAATCCATCGCCACTGCAATAATATAATTATTATAATAATATTATAACAATGTTATTATATAATAATAATAAAGGTAGTACTTTTCATTGAATGATGAACAAATGGCTTAAATAAGGCAAATAGTTTCACTGATCTATGGAGGTAAATGTTTGATTGGCAAAGAAATCCTGCAATTTGTAATGTCGTTTACTCTCATTAGCAAGTCTTACTTTTGCATCATGTCCAATTCTTACAACCACATTGCAATTTAAAAAAAAAAAAAAACAGACAAAATTGATGTAGCACAATAACAAATTTAAAATGGAGAGTAGCCACGCACCTGATCCACTGTCTTCCCCAGCTTGTAGTACAACTCTCTCTTTCTTTTTCTCTTTTCTCATACTAGCATAACCAGTAGACTGTCATCTCAAAAGACTTCCTCATAGCACACGTTTGACGGTTTATTATTCATTACTTAAACATACAGTGAAGCATAAAACATATTCAGACACGTATCTTTAATATAATATACTTAATATACTTAATATACTTCCAGTTTTTAATATCAGTTCTTTACTTCCAATTCAGTATACTTCTTTCATGAAAATTTCTATCTGCACCGAATGCGATAAAAGAACCGCAGGAGAAGCATTGATTTTGAAACTCTGTGAAATGACACTTTTAACTCCACAGTTTTAGTCTGATCAGCTGCCATGGGACAACAAAACTCGGCGATGCTTGCCTCAACACTCCCAGTTCAATTAAAATGACTAATTTTAAAATAATTCTAGAACCATCATCATCTCAACTTGACACAACACTGCAAAGTGAGCTACAAAGGAGCCAAACATAAATAACTTGATTTGACAGGAACTCATTGTTGTACGGAGCCCCTAAGGGGTCGTGGAAAAAAAAAAGTGCATGACAATGTGTTCCTTCGCAAATGTTTTTTACACATGTAAAGAAGTACTACTGAACTTAATTTAAAATAGAAATGTTTTAGATAATCAGCTCAGCACTAAAACTAGCTCAGCCAACTAAAAACAACGGCTAGTTTATATTGAATTTAGACGGCAACAGAAACCAAAACGCCCGAGCTGAGCTAAGCAAAGTTTACAGAAAAGACAGCAAAATTATGGTGAATGTACGAAGTTGATGTTGACTGATGTTCGCCAGCAGCTTATCAAATTTTCCGTGCCACATTAAAAGGTGCAGCAGTTACGTTCCGGTGTTCCATCTGATTCAGTTTCCCCTGAAAATCACGTTCACCTTCACAATTCAAGGCCTCGGGAGCTCCCTGAACTGAAATGAACACCAAGCAACACTGGAATTACAGAAAGTAAAGAAGTTCAAGGAAGGCTGTACAGCCAAAAGACTGACACAATCAGTAACAAATGACTGTATAACGTTAACTTTTCCTGAACTTTTTGCCTGACTAACGTGGTCAACGGTGTGGATTTCTGTTCAGTGAATGCGCGCTCCTGAGGGCTTGATTTGTGAAGTGGAACGTGAATTTGAGGGGAACTGAATCAGAAGGAACCCTGGTGCCTAACTGCTGCACCATTTAAGGTTTCAGTGGTGAATGTTGTGCTTGTTTTACCTGCAGAAGCTGTTAAAATCGTTCAAACAGAGAGAGCTGTGTTTCCTTTGCTTTGCTACCATGAGGAAAATGGTCAGTTCGCCTGGTAAGTTTGTCCAGTAAGAGTGTAAGAGCTGAGCGAGGGCGCACTGATGCTGTTGATGCTTCACTTGTTTCCAGCTTTTGCAGGTGAACTTGAATTCTAACGTTTCTCGTCTTCCGAAATAAAATAAGCCGAGCGTAAACACAGTGACAGACATCTGACAACGTTGCTGTACATCAAATTAACGAGGACATTCTCAAAGACCAGATCTCCACCTATAATTATGCTACGAAAAAATCTAGACAGTCATTCCTGTCATACCTGTGTAATTAAAACACAAATACCAAAGTCCTTTTTTCCACCACAGACTGACTCATTAACCCTAACTTTTCTGTTTGTGGTGATTTATCTTCTAAAATTTGCAATTCATTTTCAAAATCCAGTAGCCTTGATAGACAGTGCGACTCAGAGAGCTGAAACAAGTTCCTATAACCTTCCTCATAGACCACCTACATTAGTAATCACATTTTTCTCTTTTATCAGTTATCAGGAGCTTAAAACCGTTATGAAAAATTAAATTCGTCACAACTTTATCATTCCAGTTTCTGTACTGTCAAAGATGAACATTAACTTTGAAGCTGTAAAGTGATTGATGAGCTTGTGGATCAGATGACAGAAAATTCAGTCTCTAGCCAGTGGATCTTCCCTACAAATAAATAAATAAATAAATGTAGAAAAAGGCTTAAAGCTGGCTTTATTTTTGGACTGATGATAGCTTGAAAAGCATTGAGGTGAATAGAGAACTTCTCTGAAATGGGCCTCTGGTGCCCAAACAATACATTTCTAGCGGCACGCCAAAAGCGGGGGACCTGTTTGAGACACACTCAATGACAAGGGTATATATACTGTGGAAAACAAATGTGAAATACCTGGAAATAATAACTGGGTGGGGTTTTACACAAGACACAGGTGAGGGGTAAGACAAAAGGGCAGAGCATAGGTGGAGCAGGAAAACACGAGGGAAGGTAGAGGTAAACGAGAAAGTTTCCACAGATACATGTTTATTTTTAATCACACATTCACTAATTCTAATAAAATAAGCCCAATTGTGCTCTCTTCGTTATGGAGCATCAGAAGAGCATATTTATCACGAAGAGACAATATCACGAAATTGACAGATATCATCACATTGCCCAGCCTAAATGAATAAGTCTGAGTTAGGTGAGCTGCGTCAAGCCCCTTAATAAAGTTTGCTTGTTATTGGATATTCAGTGGATAGTCTCATTCATCCCTCCTACTATCCAATAACGTCTGAAATGACACGATCTTATGACTGTTGTCTTATTGTCGTATTGTTTAAACCTTCAGTTCAAACCTTCAGCTTATGTCCCTGAATTTGTTTGCTTGATAATGAATTATCCTATTTAGTGATGGCTTTAATTTACAACAGATGTGCCTTGATCAGTAAATGGCACTGTAAAAACTGTTCTATTGTGTCCTTTTTTTAATGGAGTAAAAAGTTTTGCTTTTCTTCAGAGACATCCTTTATGTCTCTGGATGGCTGTGTAGTTGTGAAAACTAAAAAAGTCTGAAACAACTTGACTGCCATCTGGTGGTTGTGGGCTGTATCATTAGGCCATGCTCCTTAGGACGGTGGTCTTCAAATTAGACTTAAGTGAGAGCTGGGTTAGACTGGATGATCTGGGAGTCCCTGAATAGCAGGCTGAGAATCACTGCTCTAGGTGACTTTACATAATACACTACAAGTCAAAAGTTTAGACACCTTCACTTATAGAACAAAAGTTTTTTGCTCCCATTTTCTACATTTAACAATGAAGACATCAACACTATGAGATATAGAATACAGAATTACTTTAGTCAGACATATTGGAAATGTTGATATTGATAATCAATGCCACAATACAATACTGCAGGATTTATAACAGCTGCATAGACCAACACAAAGTAGCAAGTAATTGTGAAGTGAAAAGAAAATTATACATGGTTTTCAAAATTTTTTACAAATAAAAATCTAGAAAAGTGTGGCACGCATTTGTATTCAGCCCCCCTGAGTCAGTACTTTCCTGGAGGAAAACCTGTTAGAGGCAGCAAAAAACCCTAAACATACAGCCAGAGCTACAATGGAATGGTTTAGATCAAAGCATATTCATGTGTTAGAATGGCCCAGTCAAAGTCCAGACCTAAATCCCATTGAGAATCTGCGGCAAGACTTGAAAACTGCTGTTCACAGACGCTCTCCATCCAATCTGACTGAGCTTGAGCTATTTTGCAAAGAAGAATTGACAAAAATCTCAGCCTCTAGATATGCAAAGCTGGTAGAGACATACCCCAAAAGACTTTGAAGCTGTAATTGCAGCGAAAGGTGGTCCTACAAAGTATAGATTCAGGGGGGCTGAATACAACTGCATGCCACGCTTTTCAGATTTTTATTTATTAAAACTACTTTGTGTTGGTCTATCACATAAAATCCCAATAAAATACATTTAAGTTTGTGGGTATAACATGAAAAAATGTGGAAAGGTTCAAGGGGTATAAATGCTTTTTCAAGGCACTGTAAGAGGTTCAATGAATTCAACATTTTAAGTAAACCAGGTCACTTGCTTTTTTAGTTAAAAAGTTGCATTATTTTTTACAGTGAACAGTGGAGAGGAGGGTACAGTAATTCAGATGTTCTGGAAATCTAAAGGTTATTTTTTAAATCATAGTCTGATCCACTTCCAATATAATTGTGCTGACAAAAAGTTTTAATTTTAAAAATAACAAAAAAATATGCTTTGTCAGAATGTACTAAACCACAAAAATAAATAGAACCGCCTCCAAAAAAAAAATGAGAAAGGAAATAAAAGACAAACAATTTGGATGATTTTGAACTTATTTGATTTGAATTCATTTCATAATGTTCTCTTAGTGCACAGGTTCCCAACCCTGGTCCTGGAGTTCGTCCCCTGCACTTTTTGGTCTTCTCCCAGCTCCCAACTAATCAGCTCATCAACAAACACTTCTAAAACCTTCAGCCCCATCTAAATCACATGTCTGTGATTTAGAGCAGGGATTCTCAACCTTCTCCAGCCCAAGGCCCACTTGTGTATAACTGCAAAGCAAAGCAGCCCACAGGAAAACTAAAATCAACTGTTTAAATACAACTTTATTTTTTCTTTTCTTAAATGCTGACACTGAAAACCTGAAATTTAGGTCCTGAAAAAGATCAGATTGGCCATTCCAGATGTCAGTAGTTTTGCAAAATCTTTTTATGTTAACAAACATAAAACATGTTTAAAAACCACATGGTTGTAGTGACGTCAAATAGGGGGAAAAAGAAAAAAGGGATAGAAATACAAGGTAGATGTGATTTGGAGCTGCAGTCCATTGCTTTTTCACTGAAAATCCTCCACTGGCTTTCCGTTAGCAGTGAACTGAACAGGGTTTGGTTTGAAGCGGACAGAGACCTGCAGGGTTCTACCTGACCGGTTTAGCTGTTTGCCACAGACCCGAATACATCTGGAGTGTTGAGACGTGTCAAAACAGAGCGAACTAAAGAAAAAGGTGTGACAAGTCCTCACCAAACAAAGCGCCCTGGTTAGCCGTCTGCATCGCTCGCCCACCGCTGCGCTGCATCCATAGACCATAAACATGCCAAATGTACTACACAGTAAACCAATGCAACTTTTTAACTAAAAACTTCAAAGTTTGAGTTCTCTAAACTTCAACTATTAAGTCAACAAATGGAAAACAC